GCCTGCTGTTGGAGCTGGTGCTATCCCTCCTAGATGGACATTCTGCTTTCCAGTGACCCACTTGATTGCACAATCTGCAGCGAGATTCAAGGATTCTCTGCTGCAACGACTTCCTGGATGATCCATGGCCCTTGGAAAACTTTCCTTTCACACCCTTGGAACCACGAGACTTGCCTTTGCCTGACACAGGCCAGAATCCTCTGTGACGCACCTTTTCGTTGAGACGCCTTCGCGCTTCGGTGTACGCCGTATAGGCTGAGGCCAGTTCACTGTCGGTTTGGACAAGCTCAGCGGCTGCAGACTCAAAATCTAGGATGAGAGTTGCGTCCTCATCACCATCCATAGCCAGAGTTTCAACCATTTGATCGTCATCCTCGCCCGTTTCCATGGCAAGGGCTGCATTGTCCATGTCAGACTCCTCCAAGTCCTCGGCCACCAATGCTGATTGATCATAGATCTTGAGTTTGTTCACCCGTTTCCCACCTGTCATCTCTTGGAAAAAACCGGCACCTAGCATTCGAATGGCGGCACCCACACGTTTGGTCGTGAGTTGACCACCATCAGCTACGTCGGCATCTACTAGGACTCGTTTCTTATCTTCTGCAGACAAGTTGGAACCCCGAAGAGTCACATACGCTTGAAGATCACTGAGCTTGATGTTCTTGCTATTCAACTCCGTCCACATGATATCGGCTCTTGCCAGAAACAAATCAGCACTTTCATCCGACTTTTGCAGGCATTTGTACAAGGCACGCTCGGCAAACTCGTACTTCTTTTCCAAGTCAATTTGGCCCCAATGGCCTCCCAAGATTTCAATGATCCGATGGACCGACTTGCGGTCATTGACCATCAACTCCGATTGATGGAGCTGCAGTTTTTGAAATGCAGATCCTGTACAGTTCAGTATCAAACGGGTTGCAAGCTCTGTATACTTGGCAGTGGGCCATGCTTCAAGTAGGAGGGCTACTTTCTGTTGGTATACTTGCAAATCATCTTTACTCGGGTCAAACGTCGGCACCAGAATGGCTAATTGATTGGTTACGTTTCCCCCAGATACACTCTCACCAGTCCCTTGTTCAGGACCATCAGAGCTGTCCGGCATCTCCACGTCCACCAATTGCTATTCCACCCTGGATCCAACCGAAGCTCGGTAGCTCCGCTACCAGTGTGAGTGGCTAAAGACCGACTCAGCACTGGCAGCTCCACAGTTGCTCACAAGGCGCTCAAGCACCCTTTTCCAAGACCACGCACGCAGGTCTCCAAGGCTCCAACGTTGAGGCACAAGATTGCCTTCCTGGCCCTTCGGCCACAAGTTCAGGTGAGCCCCTGGCTCTGTATGCAAAGGGGACGGCCGCGTCCCAACCAATGGCTTCAAGACAAGAATGGAATCCCACCCTACCCTCACCGTGGCTAACCCTGAGCCCATGTGCTTTGGATGGCCATCAAATTGGGAAGTTGCGGAACTGGTGTGAGAACATGTAATCATGACCCATTTGGAGATGCAACGACGTTGGATTCACAATTTACATATATATATATATATACGTATATACATGGTGCCGGGCATCTGAGGGGCCCGCGACTGTTGTCAGATTTTGTATCATGCTATCAACATAGCATTGGATTGGGGGTGTGGGGGGCTGGGGGGTTGGTGGCTGCGGCGTTCATCGGAAATTCCACACATGCTTCATGCTACGCTGCTGCACGTTCTCTTGCACTTCCACTCATGCGTCACGCTACGCTGCTGTGCGTTCTCTTGTGCTTCCAGACATACGTCATCCTACGTTGCTTTAGTTCTCTTGCTCCACGCATATGTATGCTACGCTACTGTACGTTCTCTTGCACTTCCACACATACGTCATGCTACGCTGCTGTACGTTCTCTTTGCACTTCCACACGTACGTCATGCTACGCTACTGTACGTTCTCTTGCACTTCCACACGTGCGTCATGCTACGCTGCTGTACGTTCTCTTTGCATTTCCACACATACGTCATTCTACGCTGCTGTACGTTCTCTTTGCACTTCCACACATACGTCATGCTACGCTGCTGTACGTTCTCTTTGCACTTCCACACATACGTGATGCTACGCTGCTGTACGTTCTCTTTGCACTTCCACACATACGTCATGCTACGCTGCTGTACGTTCTCTTTGCACTTCCACACATACGTCATGCTACGCTGCTGTACGTTCTCTTTGCACTTCCACACATACGTCATGCTACGCTGCTGTACGTTCTCTTTGCCCTTCCACACGGACGTCATGCCACGCACTGCTGTACGTTCTCTTGCACATCCACACATACGTCATGCTACACTGCTGCGCGTTCTCTCTTGCACTGCGCTGCTGTAAATTCTCGTGCACTTCCACACATACGTCATGATGATGGTGATGATGATGATGATGAGGATGATGATCAGGATGATGGTGATAATGATGATGATGATGATGATCATGATGATGATGATGGTGATGTTTTGATACTTTGATACTTTGATATGTTTTGATATGTTTTGATGTGCTTTGATGTTTTGAAATGTTTTGATGGTGGTGATGATGGCATGTTAAAGTTCATGTTCGTTTTGATGTTCATGACGATGCTGGTAAGGAAACTTAAAGTTTCGGTTTTGGCCCTTTCTAATTTCCCCTGTGAAACATTTGAAAGCTGACAGCAGTCGCCAGCCTCTCAGACGCCCGGCGCCAAAAAAAAATGCAATAGATACTTCCAGATGGTATGTCAGAAACTATGGCAGAATAGTGTGTCAGGGCGGGGATCACTCGAAGACAGTAATCTTTATTTTGTGTTTTGACAAGTATTAATTTCATTTCCTGATATTCTTTTAACTTTTGGTGGTTGTTGTTGTTTTTGAAATTGTTGTTTTTGTTTTTGTTTTCTTTAAAAACATATTTCAGGGAACTTTAAGTAATTTCGATTCTCCGAAAAACAAAATGGAAATTCAGTCTTCTTTTTTCAAAATATTCTTCAAAAAAGTCGCGGAAATAAGGAACATATGATGTTTAAAAAGGCAGTAATCTAGATTCAAAAACGAACACCACAAATAAAACGGAAACATCAAACATAAACATACATAAACGTAAACCAAATCAAGCTAAACATAAAGTATAAAACCCAAAACAAAAACAATAAGTATAAGAATCAGAAAAAAATCAAAGAACCAATGCACATTTGCATTTTCTGTTTCTCTTCAAACAGCGTGGCCACACTGAAGGAGTTCTTACGGTAAGGGTTAAGTGGGCGGCATTTCTCCTGTACATTTCTGCATAAAATGGCTCTTGTGATATGTCCATGTGCATTTCGACTATGTCGCGGTCCTGGGGCGTGGCATTTCTCCTGTAAATTTACGCATAAAATGGCTCATGTGACAGACATGTCGGTGTGCATTTCGACCGCGCAGGCTCGCACAAAACGAGCGGCTACTTGCTCAGAGATCTTTTATAGAAAGCTTGAACACACATCTTACTTTGGGATCCCTCACGAAGATCTTCTGTGGAAATAGAGAGATCTCTTCAAGAGTCTTGCCAAGAGACCTCTTATAGAGATCTTGTACTGAGATCTTGCCAGGATACCTCTTATGAAGACCTTGTACAGAGACATTGCATAGAGATCTGTTGCAGAGATCTTGCCAAGAGGTCTCTTACACAAATCTTGCCAAGAGGGCTTTTATAGAGAATTATAGAGAGTGTGCACAGAGATCTTTAAGAGATCTTGCCAAGAGATCTCTGATAGATATCTTGTACAGAGGTCTTGCGAAGAGACCTCTTATAGAGATCTGTGCCGAGATCTTGCCAAGAGGTCTCTTACAGAGATCATGCCAACAGAGCTCTTGTAGAGATCTTGGACAGAGATCTTGCCAGGAGACCTCTTACGGAGGTAAGTGGTGAAGAGAGCAGAGGTCTTGCTCGGAGATCATGTATAGATAGCTTGGACAGAGATCTTACTTTGAGACCCCTTACAACGATCTTCTGTGGAGATCTCCCTATAGACACCTTGTGCAGATAGCCGATAGCCTTACACAGGGATCTTGCGCAGCAGCTTCTACAGAGAACCTGTCAAGGAGATCTTGCGCACGATCTTCTACAGAGATCTTCACACTTGGTGTCTCTTCTTCCAATGAACACCATGCTTTCGCTACTAGGGTCGCTCTTGTCCTGCTAGCTTGGAGCCACTGATGATTTTGGGCCCTTTCCACCTTTCCCTTTAGAATCCTAAGTGCGCACTGTTTGGGGTCTCTTGCCGGGATAATGAATCGCTTCTAGGTTATGAAACCAATGCTTTTTGGGCGACAGTCTAAATGCTCAAAAGTGGCGCCCGCGGCCGACCTTTAAATAGTCATATTTTTCTCTTTTTGAGCAGCCGGCAAAGCTCTTCTGGCTGGATAAAAAATAAAATGCACATTTAAGAACCAAAGACAAAAAAGCAACATTATATAACTTAATTAAACAATATTTGTAAACAAAACCAAAAGCGAAGCAATGAAGAGTTGAAGAGTGTAGATAGTTTCTCGAATTGCTGCTTGCCAGCAGCTGACCATGGTCCTGCCCAAAACCAACAGCTGCTGCTGTGGAGCAAGTCATATTTGTTTTGGATGGTTCCTTAGGTGCCTGCATCCGTTTCTTTATGACTCCGGTTGTCGTGTGCGCATACTTTATCATATATATTGGTGGAAACCTACTAATTTTGTCACCCACATGGTTCGCAAAATGAGCCATGTGGATGGCTGCAGCCACATGATTCAAGACAGTTTGCTCAAAACCCTGTCAAACTGGATTTCAGTCAAAAACTGGTGGCTTGCAAAAATCCTAAACATTCCTAAGCCGCCTAAACCTTATTTCCCTGTAATTTCCTTATTTTCTGGAATTAAGAAAGTTCACGGTCCAATCATGTAAACTGAAACAAAACGCATACATCACAATTGCCACGCTATATCCCAAAATCGCAGTTTGCAAAGGTAGGAAAGTACCACACGCCTGCCTGTCCTCTGCCAAATTCAACACGTCGTGGGCCCTCGATTCTGCAAAGGTGTCTACAACCTGGGAAGGAAGCAAGGAAGCTCGGCTGCAACATCATCTCAGCTAGTCCTGGGAGGGAGAACCCCCCCGCCCCTCCCACTCCATTCCGGGCCCTCCTTCGCACATTTTCACGCAGTTTGCAATCTGCTGCACGAATGGAGGCCAACTGAAGTAGCAAGGGCCTTTCGGCCATGTACTCACCCCATCCTAATCTCGCGACCATCTCCGACTGCGGAGGGATAGAAGTGAATGTTCGGAGGAGATTGAACTTTGCACAGCGCCGCAGCACGTGTGATATGCTGGGTACTTCTTTTGCCCCACAATGCGAGCACATTTGTGGCACACCACTGCCATTGTACTGGGCCGTGAACTGTTGATGAGCAAGCCCCAGACAGCCTTGGAGCTGGCCATAGCTTGTGCCACCTGTCGCTTGAAGTTCACAGAAGCAGGCAAGATGGCACATCTCCTGCACACTGTTACGACCGCCTGCAGTCTGTCAGTTTCATCCTTAATGCTTTCTCTGCCAGGTGCACCCAATGTGGCGCCCAGAATTTTCATTGTGGCGGACGGAATGAAGCCAGCCTCGTCCAGCTGTCTGTGTGCCTCAGCAGTTCTAGCCCAAACTTGGGTCTTAGAGTGGTTGGTTTTCATTCGAATATGGTTTTCAAAAAGGGCCAATTCAGCGAGCCATGTTTGCAGGGTCGGAAGGTCTGCCATGCCCGCCGACCTGTCGTCCATGTAACAAATGGAGAAACATGGGTGTGAGATTCGTTCCCTGATTTTCCTTAGTGGGCCCGCTAGCACCGCAGCAAGTGCCAGTGGCCCCCCACGGATCTCCCTGCAAGATGGCTCGGCAATCTTGGACGGGTTCCTGATGAACTTGATTTCCATAGGTGAACCACCTAACTTGATGTTTCCACATGTCTCCCAAAGGTCCAGTCACAGCAGGAGGAAGGCCAGAGAGAGAGAACAAGAGTCCAATCAACCGAATCAAAACATTTTTGAAAGTCATCAGTCATGCTGGACTCGGTTTGTCGTGGGGCCTTTCTCTGTTGTCCCCACCGAGGCCTTTTCTAGTTGTTTTGCCATGCTGCCATGTGTCTCCCTGTCCCCGTTGCCAAGTCTGCAAAAAACCTGACAGTGCATCGATCAGGGAACTGTTTTGTTTTTTCTCTTGTCGCTTTCTGTTTGTCGCCGAGGAGCCTGCGGCACCTCCTTCCAAGTGATCCATGCTGTGGATCTCGAGCAATTTTTCCCCAGGTCTCAAAAAACGCAGCTGCAAGTATCTCACGTGAAGCTTCAGCTTTTGATGATCGAGCTGACGCCAAGGGCCCCTGCGGTGAAAAAGATCATTCCAAGTGGGGGCTCTGACTTTTCGAGTTTTGCCAATTCCCATTGTGTTTACCCTTTAGCTTCTTAGTGAAAGAACTGTAACGCCAGCAAAAGATGCTGCAACAAATCTCACCAAGCAACGCCACCGTTCCCACAAGAGCCAGCCGCAGGTCCAATGCCATCGGCGCAGGCTCCCAAAGCTGCAGCTGCTGTAGCGAGGTATCCGCCCGGCTGCCATAGCTGCCCGGCTGCCATATCTGCAGCGCCCGGCCCTAGTCTTCCGGGGGGGCTCTTGTGGGGCCGGTATACGTGGTGTTGGAGAAACATCAACTGTGAGGCAAGTGTTTGCCACATTGCAAAGCAGTAGCATCAGCAGTAGGCAGGGCCAAGAAGCACAGCACAAGCTTCAGCAGCCAGCTCCTGCTTCTAGAAACTCTGGGCTCGTACACCCTTTTTTGGGTCAATTCGATCCCCTTAACATGCATTAGGCCAAACGGCCTTGGCATCTTTTCTTTTTTCAGCCGCAGTGGCGCGCTCTTGAATTCATTCTTTTTAGGATTTTGAAAATTTTCTTTGCTTTTGTTCTTTTTCTCTGTGCAACTAATTGAGCAGAAACTCCTTTGCGCCTCCCATTCGAACCTTGAGGCCCACAAGCGCCACGTGGAGGCGGGGAGGAGCTTGCTGTCTACAATCTGGGTGTCATCCAAAGCTGCGGCATGGCACGCGCTGGCAGCCAACACAGCGGCAGAAGTCCTCACAGATCGTCTCGCCTGGTGGCCAATCCGCCGCCCCGAGGTGCGGAGCAGGCGAAGAGCGTCAAAGGCGGGACAGGCAATTTGCTTCATTGGATATTTTGCCAAGCTGGTAGCAAGGTTGATATCAATACCTTTTTGGTTCCAACCAAGGCGTTGGGCGTTGGAGCAGGGGACACCTAGCTTTGAAATGATGCGTAGGGCATCAAGCGTTTGCAATCATACAAGGTATGCACTTTGTGAAGAGGTGATGGATGCACCACAGCCAAAGCCAAGGCACGAAGGGGACCTTGGTTTGATCGGGAATGAGCAATGAACGTCAGTGTGGAGACCATCTACAATGATTCCGAGAGAATCAAGCGGGCTTGGGAATGAAGATCGCCGATCAGAGAGTCAGTGATTCAAGGTTGGTGGATCGAGCAACTGGGGCGTCATTTCTTTTGCTTGCAAGCCACTGGGAGATTTCATGGCGGCGCCATTTGACATGAAGTAAATGCGCAAACTGGGAAGGACAGTTTCAGTGATGTTCCAGTGGCAAGTTGGCCATCGGGCTTGATATCCCACTTTGCTTTTTCAGCACAGGGGTCTGAAGTGAAGGAGTTGTCCCATCGAACCTTCGGGCAGCTTTAACACAACGATTTAAGGCCAGAAGTGCTCGCTGGACAAGCAGTAAGAGCAGGTCAGAATGATGATGTCCAAGGAGAGGGACAAATTGAAGATGGGACCCGATTGGTGCACGGAATAGTTTGGAATACTTTGTTTTACGATCGCGCTCTCTTTTGGTCAAGCCACTGGTTAATCGAAGTTTCACGCTTGAAACCGTCGTGAAGCATCTCGGCATGGCTGTTGGGGCACGAGCCCAATGTTGGGCCTTGTGAGCAGGAGAAGGGTGAAGGATTCAATCTCATTCTAACAGGCAAGAGCCTGATTAAGGTGAGTCAGGCAGACCGAAGCACCAATCCAAGGGATGGAACGCCCATATGCGACCCACCGACCTACTGTGGGTTGACCACTGATGTTGAAGAAGATCGCAGACGTGAGGGTCTATAATCCAAGCTGGTGCAACAAGTAAATTTTAGTAAATTCTCTGTGGCAGGACAGAGCAAGTCGATGCACAACGTGAGAGTTTCGGCATCTTGGCCATGAAGGTGGCATGGATGAAGGAACTGGGAGCGCCAGGGGGCCAACTCACGCATTTGGATTTTTGATGGTATTCTGTAGATAATGGGGGCAACGGACATGGGGCGTGTTTCGCCGGCCCCATGTGACCTCGGGGATTCAAACAACCTTCCAATTTGAGAGCAGTTCGGCAAGACACTGAATGGCTATTTAAGAAGCGCCGGCAGCAACCCGGCGCTAAAACCACCGAGCGCCCCCAATCTACTTGGAGGCGCCAAAGGATTGAATCGTTCTTCGCATGACAGAATGCTGCAAGAAGGAGCTCAATTTAGCCATGACCCCCCAAGACCTTGTGAAACATGAAGGCTCAAGGGACAAGCTGCTTGCAGTTGGCCGGGCAGTACCAGTGGGAGATCAACAGTTGATTGCGAGAAGGCATAGTGGAGTACCTCGGGCCGAATTTCTGTTGGATAGCTTTTTGTGTGGCACTCGTTTGCACGTTACCTACCCACCAGGCTAGCAGCATTCATCCGCAAGGTTTCAGTTACAACAGCAGGCAGCATTCGTTTTCAAGGGAAACAGACAAGTTCCCAGTCGCAGGCAGGCCCCTTGTTCGGTTGGATGCACTGGTGCCGGCGGATCAAACAGTTGCATGCGTGTCGTTCAGTCATCGCCAAGACTTGTGAAACAGCTTGTGGGTTATGTTCCTCCTCCTCTGCGCTATTCACTTCTGGTGTGCGGAAGCCATTCCCCATGCAACCAATGACCATTTCTCATTGTCAGTGTCCGCAAAGTGGAAGAGTCTTGGCATTTCAAAATGCAGAATTCAAGTTGTGATAGCCACACTCATTGATTTTCTGCTTGCGGGTGCCATCTGTCGAGTTTGAGCCAGGCATATGGCATATACAAGATTACGTAGTGGTCGCCAGCTTGCTCCAAGGTTCACGTGCGGAAGCTTTACATAGATGATGCTTTTGCGCAACTTCCTCTGGATCCTAGATTCTAGATTAAAAAACAACTTTCTTCAACAACTATGCAGCTGGCATCCCAGCATCGTGTGTAATATATCCTGCCACGGCATGGGAATGAATTTCTGTGGGCCTTTGTTTGACGCCGTGTGAAAGATCCTTCCGATTCCCTTTGGGGCTTCGGACAGATCAGAAGTGTATACATGTAATTACAGTGCTTTGATCTTTTTGACATGTTTTCGCAGCCAAATGTAGTGGGAAGCGGGAGGTGGTATGTGTCTTTTTATAGCCACGTGTTGTACTGCTTCTCAGGCTCTTTGGCGTTCGTTTCAAATTTCAAAGCCCTTTTTAGCCAAGTGCGGCCTAAAATGGGTAGCTATAGCGCAGTAATGGGTAGCTATAGCGCACTGGCCAGCGAAACGCTTATTTTGCAGTGTTCCACATGTCCTTCAGCAGTAGACTGGTTAGCTTCGATCCACAGCCACCGGGGGAAAAAACGTATCGCACTTCTGAAGACAAGAGGCAACAGCGACGATCAAGTTTAACACCTTGGAACCGGAGGAGGGCGTGGGCACAAATCCAAAGGGGATCGCAGCTTTTGTCGTTAAAGTCAAGTGATCGCAGTACGTACGTATTTACATTGAGAGATATTGAGGAAGACGGCAAATGTCCGTGCCTGGATCCCTCTCAACCTTGTATCTTGGTTCATGCAAGACTCTTGCCCGTTTTGAATTAAGTTAGCCACGACCCCGGTTTCGCCTGGCTCATGAAATCTGAGGCTCCAGCACCGAACACTAGCGTGAGTTGGCTACCAACAAAAATAATGGCAGTGCCTGGATGGTCCTCGCAGCGGACCAGGACAATGGTGACATGAATGGCCATGTCTGCATGCAAGAGCTTGGGAAAATTTGGAAAGGGAGTCAAAGACTTGGTAGGTTCATTTGGGGTACCATCCACACACGACTTTGTTCAAACATATTCAAACAAATCTTGCCGCTGCCATCTTTGTCATGGCCCACTGCGCTGTGCGTTCGAAAGGGCATGCCCCGCCTCGATCACAGGAACCGCGATCAAACCCCAACTATCACCTGCAATCACTGTCCTTGGACTGAGGCACATGCAAGCATCCCTTTGCAGGCCGCAACAGAAGTTGCAAGTCACAACAAACTTTTGGCCTGGCTTATCTCTGTGGGGGCATGCGTGCTTTGTCTCCCTTGTTTTGCTTTGTAGGAAAAGCAATAAGATTCTTTCCTCCTATTTTCTGTTTCATCTGTTTAGAAGATTATCTTTAGCACTGCTGATTTTTACTTGGATTCCAATCTAGAGCCTGACCTTCCATGGTTGTTCTATTAGGATTCAAGATCGGGGAAAATGCATCATGCAGTAAGTTCGGACGTACAAAAATGCCTTGAACCTGAGAGGTGGCGTGTTGGTTGCTCTCTACGAACCTTGGAACGCCGTTGCCTCTGAGCCCTCTAGAAGAAGAAGAAGCAGGAGGAGAAGAAGAAGGAGGAGGAGGAAGAAGAAGAAGTGCTTCGCTACCCCCGCGGTGGCTGCAACAACTTTCATGAGAGGAGCAGTGTAACTCGTTCAAACAATTTCAGGATATTTCAGGGCTGGCAATGCAACAAACAAAAAAGGAAAGAATGCTTCATCGTTCATGAACATGAGTCTTGTGATGTCCAAGCAACTTAAACAGGAGCAGATTTGCATCCATTACCTTGGAGGTGCAATGCCATGGGATGATTGCGCTGGCAGGAGCGATAGGAATTCACAGCGGCATCGTTTCGACTTTGCACAGCACTTTTTCGTGCCTCCAGAACTGGACCATTTCAGCCTATGCCGTCTATCCCAAAAGTTGGGAAAGCTCAAATGAGTTCCAGCAATTCTCAGCCCCACCAAGTTGCAGATTGGGTGGCCCTCCTGCACTGTTCACAGTCTGCGAAGTACAGATCACCAGAGTCCCTCACAATCCTGACGGGCATAAACAAAGTTCCATCAAGTAAAACAACTTACGCAGTCGAACGTAGTCACTTTCAACATTTTCAATCATTGAACTCGTTTCGCCCAGGTCTAATCCAAGCTGCGGGTGGATAATCTCAACCATTAACATCGCCCAAAAGCTCCTTGGTGACATCCAGTTTGCCTATCTGACCTATCTGGTCAGAAGCTTTCGTAAATTCACTTCAGGTGCAACGAACATGTATAGTTGTACCAATTGTACTACTATTATAATGCGCCATAATCTATGATTCATATAAGACGGCTTTTTCCACTTCTTGGTTGTTCCACTGCGACACAAGTCTGCACTGATGGTGCGACCCAAGCATGCTGCATCCACCCCATGAGCTGCAATATATTGGGCCGCGTCACATAACACCGAAGCAGATAAGAAAAGACCACGCAAGAGCTTTCATACATGTTGCCATCATAGTCAGCAATCTACGTAGCCTGAGTGACTTACAAGAAACATTCGAGGACTTGTAGATTGGAATAGCAGGTGATCGCAGTCTTTGATGTAGAGAGGCTGATGCTTGTGACCGCTACTGCCATGACATGACCATCACCATGATCCTGACAGAGATGACATATGACAATGAAAACTATCTGGTGCTGATAAAGATGATAGAAAATGTCATGATGGGATCCATCTGGCTTCTATTCCTGCCAAGAAACTCTTTCAAAGACTGGCTCTTGCGTAAGATCCGTGTTAGGCCTTCGGCAGAGGGGTTGTGGCGCATTCTTTTGAGACTTACCCAGAGTTTCAAAGAGGAAAAGAACGAACATGTGCAGAACCATGCAGAACATACTGTTACAACATATATATATATATGTTTATATATATATGTTTATATATATATATTACAAACTGACTTATGCAGAAAGAATTCTGTAACTTCGCATCACAGGCTTGTCTCATCTCTCCAAGCTTCGAAGAATTCGCGCCACCCTGAGCAATCGCAGCATGCCAATCCGGCCAAAGAAATCGGACATTCCAAAGGCTTGGAGCAAAGCTTCTACCTTGTGGGCAAGTGATTTCAACATAAGAGCTATGACATATGACTTGCTATGAAGAGCTACGAGCATATCTGCGGTTTCCTGCTGCAATGTTCCGCCGTCGTGTCACTTTTGAATCATGATTGGACACGAAGTAAAAGGCGCATCGGCCCCAAAGTGAGTCGACCCATCATTTTTCATTCGAAGAATTCAAGATCTGAGCTGCATAGCCACAAATCAGAACGGTGAGATCGATCCTCAGCCAAGTTCACAAACTGCGGTGTACTTCACGGGACGAAGTGAACACATTTTAAAAAGGTAGGCCACCTGGGGCCAGGTGGCCTAAGTACAAAAGCCCAATTCTTCTTTAAACTTGAAATGAAAGGTACATGTTTTTTCAATATCTCATAAACTTCTCATAATATCTGACACCTCTTGGCAGCAGCACATGAATCATGTTGCAACGTCTTAAAGTCTGCGGATTCTGCGGATATATGAATCTCGTGCATACCAAAACCAAACAAAAGGAATTGTAACAAGATCATTGCTATTGCAAATGTGCCGCAACCAAAGAGGAGTTATCGCTCTTCCGTTTTCTTATTATCATCATTTCACAAACATCCTTGCTGATCCAGAACTTCAAGCCAAGCATCATGAACAGCATATCTCTGTACATGATCTTCATAATTCGAATCCCTTTGACTGTGAAGAAGAGGCAGAGTTCTAGGGTATACCTAGAAGAATTCTCGACGACGGTGACGCGCACTGCATGCTTTGGTGCCGTAATGCTTGTGTGACTGATGCTTCTGGCACGGTCCAAGTATTGCCAAGATACACCAGCAAGCAAAGGTCTGCGGCGAGCTGTATGATGAAAGGAGTTTCATCACCAATGGCTTTTGAATCAATATCATAGCAAGTCAACCAGGCATCAAACCTTAGGTGTCAGTATGTCCTGGTTGTTGTGACAGTAATTATGTCACAGGTGCTTGTGAGCGCAGCAACACTTGCAACTGTTTACAAATGGAGGCCCAACAGAGCTCTGGGCACATTCAAAATGGTTGATGAGATCTAATGAGCAAATCTGTTGCGTCTGATTAGCAAATCTGTCACACCCGAGCAACAGAACCACCACTGCCGTGAGATTTGTCAAATAGTTGTCATTGATGAGAGACTCTGCTACCCTCCAAATCCTGGACAAATCAGCTGCTCTTGAGCTGGACAAAATTAACAGCAGTGCCTATAGGTTCAACAAAAACACATTAGTTCAAAGCAGTGCAGCCTGTACTTAACAGGCTCATTGGTCAGGCTTCCGTGATCAAACAAGGAACCAAATTCAAGAACCAGTTGTGTAATGGTTTTGTATCATTAGGAGATGGGGTTATGATTTTATGGTTTTCGATATGAGTTTGATTTTATTTTGGATATGATATTGATATGATTTCGACATGGTTGTGGATGTGGCTTTGATATGGTTTAGGAATGGAGCGACTTTTCGGGGATTCCTGGTGAGTTGGCATGAAAAAAAGAAACAGTCGGGAGAACTTTTGGTCCATTTCTTGAGGCTTTTGGTCTTGATATGATTTTGATATGGTTTCGGGTATTATTTTGATATGGTATTCGATATCATGGTTTGGGATATGGTTTTGACATGGTTTTGATATGATTCTGACATTTTGTCAAAACATATATCCAAACAACACAACAAAACCTGAATACACAAAAGTCACAACTCTGTCCCACGCCAAAATCACAATTTTGAGCCATATCAGAATCACATTGAAACAATGTCAAAATCATAAATGAAACACCAGGCCACAAACAAATGTATCTAACAACAAATCAGACCTGAATCACATCAAAATCATTCACACATGTTGTGAATATCCTTCATCCTGAGCCTGCTGATGTCATAAGTTTAAGCATGTTCGAAATAGTCATTTAATGTCATTTAGAAACATTAGAAACTGTTGTAACATGCACGCAAACCTCCAAGCCTTTACCAGGATCCCTCATGAACTTTGGGGAACCTTGACTCTGTGCAGTGAAATTTAACTCCTCAGAAACTTGCATAGCTTTGAAAGGTGTCAGAAGCTGTGTTTGAAGGCTCTGGAAGCATGTGTGCGGAACATTGCAGACCACATTTTCGAGAACTTTTCAGACTTGAGTTCCCAATGGGATCCAATTGGTTTGCTGGGTTGCTCTTTCATCAGATGAAATCACAAGGAAAACTCTGCCAAGACTGATTGTAGTCTAATGATTCTAATGTTGAAAGTTCAATATTAGAAGAAATTCTCAGACTCAACACCCTACAACGTGGAACCTTGGAATCTCTAGTTTCCCCGTAGATCCTTCCCAAAACACGTCGGTTCTATGGCCGAAAGCTCTATGCAGCGAACAGCTTAAAAGCAGCAATGTATGGCATTGCTCGCTGTTGAAAACAACATGCATAGATGAAATAAACCGAAAAAGTGTATCAAACAATAAATAAACGCATTTAACCATGGGGAGGCTTGGCGGGAGAGAAGAAACACGCCCTTTGAGGACCTGCTCCCCGAGAGGGAGTGCGAAAGAATAATCTACCAGTCAGAAAAGCCACCATCTTTAGTGAGATGTGAACAGCGGCGATGAACCGAAGGGCTGAGTGCATCTCAGCGTCTTTCCTCCCATTCCATTTTTCTGCTCACCACTGCTATTCTGGACAGCTTGTTCGCAGTCGGCCTTGATGAAATTTGCAGCTGCTGGACTAATTGATCCTGGGCCAGCGATGGTGTCTCAAAGATTGCAATGAGCATTGGAAAATATGATGGAAAATATGATGGAAAATCAAATCTTGTGGACATCTTCGTCTGCTGTCAGGGCTCGGCGTCGATCGGCTGACACTTCCTCTGCATTGCTGCCAATGCTGTAACCTCAAAAAATCCACGGGAGAACTGACCAACTTCTAGCCATACTGTCTAGAGACGTCTGGACAATTTGTTGCAACAATCCCAATTAATCCCAACTATAACTCAAGGATCTCGATTCCCTATAAGTTTGTCATTTACATTCCTTGATATTCCATGCATGACAAACAGCCATGCTGACCATGCTGTGGCAAAGCTGCTGTCATTAACGGCTTAGCATAGCTTAGCGTATGAAACCACGTATTTCTTTGGCATAGCCATGATCATTGGATTGGTACCGCCAAGGACAGCGACCTACTTTCCATTGCCTAACCCTGCCAAGGTGCTTGACCCTGCCCGTTCAAGTTCCTGTCACAATCGCACACCCGGCAAGTTGACAAACCAAAGAAACCAGTGCCCAGATGACCCAGATGTGCCCTCCACATTATTCCACATTCAACTCGTTTGATCCGCAAATCCACCAAAGGCCTGATCCGTGTCTGACTTGGAGCGTTCGCGATCCCCTTGGCCCAAGCACTGAAACATTGACCGTGAGTCTGTACATGACTGAGCGTGCGTTCTGACTGAGCAAGGCATTTCATCTTAAAGATCTTAAAGAGGGGTAGAAAACGGTCACACCTCTCATGCTACACAGGCTACACTTTGCGAGGTAGGGTTTCGAAGGCCAGCTACTATTTACTCGTGCTAATAAATCGCGTAGAAACACATATAAACCAGTGTCACCTGATATCATACTATACATACATATACATACTATTGCCTTATGCAAGTTCCGTCAGAATCGGATTCATCTCCCACTTCTGTAGACCTCTCTGACAAAGGTGCGGTGCACATCTTCAAATTTGGCCGATTCTGTTATCGCACCAAGACACTTTTTCGATTTTTCTTTTTCTTAGCCTGCAGGCAGCACCCAAGCTTGCCACACTTGCAAATCAATCCAAGTTGGCATGACCATGAGGCCATTGATGTGCCGTGCCAGTTTTGCGTGAAGCACTATCCTAAAATGTCCACATCTAGCCTTTTACCACAAAAAGGATGCGAAGGGCATCTAGAATCTACATAATATTTGCCTCGACTGAAGTAGTACAGCAATGGGCAAAAACTGACCAGAGTTTCCATTCACAGGAGGGGTGACCACAAAAGCGAGAGGCATAAACTAAAGACAAAGGCCTTGGCCACCGATGACCAAAATCCCCAGCAGCCTTGGATGTTTTCCTGGTAGAGTCTGCGTCAGAAGCGTCAGAGATGGAGTACTCTGACCCTATGGAGGAGTTGAAGCTCTCTTTCCGACCGCTGCTCTCCATGGTTTTCAATTCTCCTCCGCTGCAAACAAAGCAGTTTGTGGACGCATTGCGCTTCAAAACTCTGTGGGATATCCATGAGTTCCTCCATAAAAGTATGATGTCAACCAGCATCGCGACCTATGGCTTTGATGTGCTGCAGGACTCGAAAGGATTATCCATGTCCAGGGATGCTTCCGACTATCTGATCCAAATGGTGCCATGGTGCTTCGCTCGCTCTGGTTACTCTAGTTGAAGACGATTTGGTTTACCAGGAAAACATGTACCCTCTGGTAATTTAACAGTTTGCTATTGAAAATGGCCATAGAAATAGTGGATTTTCCCATTAAACATGGTGATTTTCCATAGTTATGTTAGTTTACCAGAGGGTACCGTAGAATCACAGCCGACCACTCCTTGATACATTTCCACAGACTCGCCTCCTGCAGGCGACACAGCGAAAAAACATCTTCTGGAGCAAGGGCTGTGAAGAGTTGATAATTAGTGTAGCCACACACATTATCATAAATATTACTATAAATCATTATATAATATTATATATATAATTATATATATATACACATATTAAATATTAAATAGAAAATACACTAGCCATATAATATTGTAGACTCTAGCCATGACAAAGGGTTGTCAAAGCCAAGGCAACACTTCCTGTGAACACATTGGCCATCATAGTCGGGCATCCACGTGGTCTTGTTCCACTTCATTCTCGTTCCCCGTGCATTCCCCCTTGGTTCCCTGTATGTTCCCAGTGGCACTATGTGAGATCTTTCGGGTTTCCAGTTTTTCTCCAAGTCTCCTGCTTGCATTGCTAGATTGAACAGCACCGCTCAACCTTACCGATGCAAAAACAAGAGTAGCCGTGGCAAAGCACAGTGTCAGAATTTTATGATTTCCACGTCCTCTAAGACCGTTTAACGTTTAGTTTTAAAGGTGTATCTTCAAGCGGATTTTCAAGGAACATTACATCTGAATCTGTGCAATGCCCGGCGTTTCTCTTTGTTCCAATGTCTTCATGAAGGCCAACCTCTACAAGGTATTGATCCAACAAGCATAGACTTCAGGTTCGAGTCTTGTTCATTTGCTTATCTTATGCATCGTTTTTATCATGGGACTCTAAATGCTGGAAAATGGCACAGCAGAATCGACAACCTGAAACCATGCAACACCTCGCTTTCAATATTATCCCATGTGGGGCTCGAGAAGTCATCGTAGGATGTTGTCAAACCTTTAAGAGGCTTCAATGTACGGCCAGGGATAGCCGTAGAATAAAATGACATCAAAGGGATGTTGAATTGCACCAAACCCATTCAAGTCCCAATATCCAATCCTTCCCAGAGTCTCCGTGCAATGCACTTGAAGATGGTGGACGATGGTGGAAGTCGCGCAGCGAAGCAATGCGAAGCAGGGATTTCTTGAACCCTCGGTGGCTGCGAGAGCCGAGCCACCTTGCTGGGCGAAGCACCGGGGATCTCTGTGAATTTAACTGTGCTACTTGAGTCAATCCCATATACACAATATTTACACAACATATACACAATATATTTAATATATCCCAATCTTGCTTGGCTTCTTTGCAAACCTCTGTGGGAACGTGCTGCTTGGCAATAAATTGAAACATTGCTGACGCCGATAAGGGTTCGCTGAAGTACAGTATATACAGTGTATCAAATTATTCTAAAAACAACCTTTCCTTCTCACCACCTTTACGACTTGTCAAAGCAGAACCACACAGGTGAAACATGGTGAAACCGAATCAGAATCGTCAGTTTTTATGTAAGAAAACAATGTAGTATCAGATAGATGCGCGGTGCAGCTATCAGGTGCCTAAAGTGGCCAGGAGAAAGCAAAAAGGACGACCCCCCACAAGATCCTACAAGTTTCCTGAAGAATGGCGGCAAAGATAATGAATATATGCATATATGTATTATAGAATATATTATATTCATAATATATGATATACTTATGATTCAATGATATATATATATATATATAGTATATATATATTATATTATATTATATTATATTATATCATATCATATTATATTATATTATATTATAGTATATTATATTCTTTATATTATATTATATTATATTATATTGTACTATACTATACTATACTATATTATATTATATTATATTCTATTCTATTATATTATATTGATATATTATGGCTTTGCCAGCAGAACATACTTTGCACCTGCCCCCCCGCAAAACAAAAATACAGTAGGTCTTCGCAGAACCTCCAAATTTACTTGGCAGGGAAGTAAACAAATGGTTCGCTGCAGGACAGCCTGTAGCCTTTTACACCTTTTACTATCAATTCTACTGAAACTGGCGCACGCAGCATTTTTGGATTTACTACTTGCCAACGTCCTCCATCAAAGCTTGGAATTCCGCAGAAAGCTGCCTGTACGGATTGGCAGCTGTCAATGTGACAATGCTGCGGAAAGTTAGCATACCATACCCAAATTCGAACCAGCATTAGGCATGGTGATATATTGAAGCCTTCCTTGCTGTGTATCCATCCTTTGTACATCATTGATCATCATTGTACGTCAAGCAATGAAGCAACTTTACCTTCACTGCATCACAATTGTTGTCATTCTGCATCGTCATCCAAACCTGGACGGATTTGCAGCATCTGCTTTCGCCTTCACAGGTGACGACAGGTGACATCACAGAGTTGATGGGTAAAACCACCTATATAGGTTTTTTAATCACTTGGGCTTTGGTTCAAAAATGGGGCACCAATGGACTTCGACATCTTTTCGACCCATGTCTGTCCTTCTCAGCAGCAGAAATTCTTTGTAGCAACTCAGCTTTGGCAGACTTCACCTGTGCGGAATGGAGTCATATGGAGTCCTTCAAAAAAAAACACGGTGCCGCAGACCATCACTACGCCACTACCCTTGCCCCGCCTGCTCCTCTGTACCAGGACCGATGTGCGCAGTGAGATGCCCTGCCTCTGGTGGCATCAATGCAATCATCACTTTGCATTTCTCACGCACCTGTAGCGATGGCAGGCTGAAGTTTCGACTGACAGCCTGAGCATGCCTGAGCCGTACAGTTTCAATCAATTTCACTCAATTTCATACAGTCCATTGAACCAATTTCAATTTTATTCGTTGGATAAAAACATATAAAAACCCTAGAATTCATATGAATTCATGGATAAAAACAATTAAAAACATATAATGTCCTGAAATTTCCTGAAAATCATGAAAAGTCACCAGCCTTAAAAAGTCACCAGCCTTAGGCAAATCTCGACCATTGGGTCCCACGGCTCCGCAGAGGAGTTGCTCAGGGATTTTCACCTGATCCTGATCTGAAAGGCAGGCCCTGTGAATACAGGAATTGCACATGAAATACATGGTCAAGTGATGTTAAGTGATTAAGTGGTTACAACATCTTACAAATATGTACAAATTGGATTCCAATTCTATCCAACTCGTATCAAAGAAATACATAGAAATACATAGACATACGACAGACATACGACAACATACGACAACTATCGAGAACTATAGAATCAGAAAGGGATTCTGAAACGGACAACGTGCAGGCTGAAGCCAGGCGTCATGTCCGATGATTCCGATGCCAAGACTCCATGTAATTGCTCTCAGCTTCCTCCTTCGCCTTCCTTTCGGCCTGGATTGCTTCAGACATCTCCGAAAGATGCTAATGGGGATATAATGAGTATATAATGAGTATATAATGTATGTAATGTTGAGCTTCATCTTCAGGAACTGACAATGTCTTTTGATGTATTTTGCTGTCATAGAATATCCATGAATATCCCGTTATCTCAGGCTTCCTGGTGATCCATCATCTATCTTTGCACGGATATTTCTATGGCTGCTATAGCTGCTAGCCACAATCAGCACAAGCCACCGCACACCTCAGCAAAGGCTTGAAATTGGAGCTCTATCTGCGCGACGGCCCTTCCAAGCGCATGTTCTTTGCCGGAGATTTTGATCGCCGTAGCGTCACTAGAATCGCCGGGCTGTACGCTGATGTTTACCTCACACTCCTCAGCGCAGCCATCAAACACAGCAACAAAAATATATGCACTTCTTTGGAAGAGTGTTTGGAATTTGTTGACGCTTCTGCGTTGGATTGAAACAACTATCTTGTGCTTTTTGAAACCATAAAAAAATACACTTAAGAATAGTGAATTGTCAGAAGAAATCATAAAACTATTGGATCTATTGGATCTATTGGTTGAACATAATCGAAACATATTGAAGATATCAAAACACCGAGGATGTCAATGCACAAAAAATGCTCCGAGATTCGGCCATGACTTGCACAAGGCCGCCCTCGTGCTGCAATGGCCCAGCAAACTTCGTGGGGAACGACAAGATGCGGTGGATCACCTTGTCTGCCTTGTTTGATTAGCATCTCTAAACACAGCTGGGTACAGGCAGAATCATCAAGACAATCAAGCTTCATCAAGTTTCCAAATTATCCGGAGTTTCGGTGATTTTCCTATGCAATCTGGCACACCATAGCACACACGAGTGCTTCCTCAATCAGTTCAATCCCATGTTTTTTTTCTGTTTCTTGGTTTCTGATGGTTTCTGCAAAGAGGTCAAGTTCCAACAGCGGGTTACCCTGACCGCCTCGTCTACATCCAAGGGGTTTGAAGCCGTCAGCAGTGCAGTGGCGGCTGCAGCTCCCGTTTTCCGACGTTGGGAGTTGCTGCCTTGCGGGGCGACGCGGTGTCATGACATATCACAACACTCCCAGTCACAAGAGTTGTGGCTGTTATAACCTCCACCTTGATTATCTTTTGTTTAACTACATTGAAGAACAATAATGCAAAATTAAAGCATGTTCTGAAAACAAGGTGTCCTATAGACTTGCAATCCCTATATAATGCGTACGTATACACACATATACATGCCACCATTGACCACCACCCTCCCTGCAATCAACATCAAACGTGTGTTTGTGTGTGTGTGTGACTCGACCTTATGGTTCAAAATGCCAAAGAACGTGTTTCCAGCAAAGGATGATTGTATACTGCGAAATGCATTGATGCATTTGACCATGTTCTGAATTCTCGTGATCTGTTTCGCACGCATAGCAATCATGCCAATCAAATACCGTTTCCGCAAAAATGTGCGAAGTTCTCCATCTGCATGCATCTATGCACACCAAGTACAGTACAGCTTGAAATCTTGGTGTTGCACACTATCCGTATATATATATATAATTATGTGATTATATATATACAAATTATACATATAAACATATACATATAAACATATATATATATAAACATATATATCTCTCTATATATATATATCCATGCACATATCAATCCCGGATCACTTCACCTGAGCTCGAACTTTCAGAGTCAGACTCCACCAACGTCACTGGACCTTGGATCCAGGAACATCTAAGTGCATCATCCTGGATAGGTTGAAGTGAAAATCTAGAGGGAACCATGGTTTTTTATCCTTACAGAGGTTTCCTGCAATTTTCCTCTACCGATTCTGAGAAATAATATTAAATAACTGGTAATAAATTGCACGATTATGTAATTAAAGAGGTGTTTGCAGCCATTAAGCTGAACAATCTATTTGCAAGTCAGGTCTTTGCATGCAATGACAATTCCCAAAACAAAACCCATTGCAAAACCAGAACGTGCTGCACTAGAAAAATGATACCATCGATTGCTTTGCCTGAACAGGCATTGCACTTTGCGACATGATGCAGCGACAATCGTGTGCAATCATTTATGATAGTAATGCAACTGTCGAGCAGCGAACGTGATACTTTGTCATCGTTCAGCAAATGGACAAACACAACTGTCCAACATCTCGAGGTACAAGTAGGCCACCGACGCTTTGTACCGGTTTTTGTGTGCGTGACACAAACATCCTGACAGTGTGATCGAACGAAAAAATAAATCAAAACTAATAGACATGGCCAGAGTAGCCCATGTGTTCTTGCCCGTTCGACCCTTACACAGCTTACGCATCATAAAATAAGAGTGGTTTGTTTCCAAACCCACCATTTCTCATGAATGCGAGACTCCTCAGCATCGTCAACATCATCGTCGATGCAAATATTGTTCCTCAATGCTGGCAGGAAACAAATTGTTTTATGTTGCTCTGACAATCTTGCAGTCGTTGCGATCTTTAAAACTCCGGCAATTTTCTCGGCTCGAATTTCAAGGATGCAATGAATTTCCACCTTGATAACCTTTTTGAAATGTCCAAATCTAAAAACAGTTTAGACAACGAATTCTGGGTGTATTGCTTCTTGGATTGGGGCACATTGTCCCGCGTCACCTCCAGAGGCTTCAGAATGTGTCTGAAACCACAACATGAACACAGAACCCGGTGATACCTGAGATCTCACCTGGCGATACCTGGGTTTGGATCACAGAACATGACACTATTTTATGTTTTTTCATGTTTTTGTCCATATATTGGCATGTCTCAACCACTCCAAACCTGAACAGCACAAACATCGTCATCGACATCCTCGATCACAGCCGTCATCGGAGGATATCGGAGGTGTAAAACAGTGTAAAATGCAGGCAAAACAATGCCACAATGATTGCAGGGTTTGTTTCATGATGTTTAATGGTTTAAAATCACGTGCTATTTTTCCACCAAACAAAGGTACCAATCAACAACTCAAAGATACTCAAAGACTTCATTGCGGTTCACTATGAATGGTGATGGGTATTGAATGCATCTTGTGCTTTGACACATCTGGTTCGAAATCCGATAGCTGAAACGGCGCAAGCGAACATGACTTTGTATTTTTTTGCCCGCCCTGCCCCCCCTTGGTTGAAATGTGACATGTGTTCAATTCCTGATTTGATGCCCAACTTGAGATTTGGCAGGTTTTTTCTTCTTTCCCGCCCAAACAGCAGGAACGAATTCAATGAAACACAGATCGCGCATCTCTAACTTGCGATGTGCAACTTCAACGGCCAACAGGTTCACAAAGGAGCTGCTGGTCGTTCTGCTGCCTCTAGCTGTCTTAGCTCCTGGTCGGTTCCAAAATACATCAGAATCTGTTGGAGCACAGCTTTACGCTGACAAAATCAGTCTCAAAAGTGCTGCTGGGCATCCTCCAGCTGCTCCCTGTCAGAAAGAAAGCTTGACTTTTAGCGTTGCAGCATGCAGCAAACAAGGGCATAGCGGCATACCTCACACATGGCCTTTCCAATTTCTGCAATCTTGCAACTTCTTTCTTCACCTGACTGCTCTTTGTCAGCTTGGGACGATTTGGGATGAGCTTCCAGACCAATTGCGTCCTTGCTCTCTGTTGGTTTCATGAGTGATTTCATTTGGAAAATGCCGGCAGCAGTGGAGGGGGTGGAGTTGGCTGAAGCCCAAGGTCTGCAAGGAAAAGGGCTTAAGAGGACGAGCTGGGTGAAAAGAATTGAACGTGTCTGAAACTGGCCGAGGCTGAGGGAACTTGATCCACTGCCTTGTCTCATGCCTAGCCTGTTTCAAAGATTTTCAAAGCATCAAGCGCAAACTCAGAAAGAGCACCAGCCTTGTCTCTTTCCTGTTCTTCTTTCTTCAGTTGCTCATGCTTTGCCTGGAACGCAAACGCCACCCAGCAACTTTCCTTTTAATTGGCACCCGCCTGAAGCCCTCTGTTGGCTGGCCTCCAGTTTGATATCTAACTCGAAAATCTCGCTTTCCTGGCCAACAGACATATGGAAGTGATTGAATGCTCCGCCCCAACGTATGCATGGATGGATACAAATCGATGGAATGCCGCACATGTGAAACGATTTCCTGAATAATTCCATGTAATTCCATTGTACACCCAAAAATGATTTGGTCGGTCTGAATCATCCACTGGGCAAAGCGAGCCCCCGGCAGCATCCGGCAGCCACCAGTATCATTAGAGTCCTTCTTAGCTTTTTGCTGAAGGAGCTCAAGATGTTCGTTGACGAGGATCTCATTCTTCCGCCGAAGGTTTCGTGCCTGTCTTGGAGTGGCTCATAGTGGCCGTGGTCAGCCCTATTTAATGTATCGATTCTATCATCTTCTATTGTCTGTGTGGCCTCCCCCCCCTTATCGCCTTTGCTTGGATTGAAGATATTGAAGACTTAATGACTTAATGTCTTGTGGATCATCGGAATTGGATGCATTTCCCAACACCTTGGCAAGCCCTTTGGAAATCCTCACGCTGTGTCTCCGCAGTGTGTCTGGGTGTGTCATTTTTGCACCTCCACCGATGGTCGGCCGGAGTCTTCTTGGAGTTCCTCACTGCAACTATCAATATGAATTCAAAGCTTAACATCTTGAAGTAAAGAAAGGAGTAACTAAGTATTATTGCGTCTGCACCTGGATGCTTATGATTGGAGGATGGAGATATTGAATGACAACGTCCTTGGATGCCGCAGCGTGGAACTTTCTCACGAACTCGTGGCATTTGGCTTGTGCCGCAGTGAGGCGTTCCTGGCAGAAGCCAGCAACATTCAGCAACATTCAGCAACATTCAGCAACTATCCAGGAATCCAGGAACTGCTTGATACCGAAGATTGAAAGGGGGAACCTAATGACCAAAGATTGGCTACGGTAGCTACAATCATGATCTTCATGCCTGCGCGATCCCAAGAACGGAGGGAATGGAACGGTATCCCAACGATCATGAGCCCTTGGAAGATTTGGAAGCAGAGTGGTCCAGAACTGCCGCATGCCATGACCCACCAATGAAGGGAACAAAATCAACCTGCACTTGAAGTGACAGCCAAAACTTTACAATAACCTAGGAGTCAGGAGTCATCCAGGAGTCATTCTAGGACCTTTTGGATCTTTTGTTTTGAACATCTTAGTCCTGTGGTCTCGGTTGGCACAGCTTCTTGATGCAGTCCTGCGCCATATTACCCTTTGCCATGGGCTCACCATGTCAAGAGATGTCAAGAGATCATGTCATAGCTGTCATAGCATGGCTCCTCTGCCAATGGCTCCAAGCCAGGAGGGAACTTCAGCCTTACGCTCCTCAGATTCTGACGCTGGAGACCAAGCTGACCTCTACAAGCGTTGCCTGCATGCCTGGTGCATGCCTGGTGCATGCCTGGTGCATGCCTGGTGCATGCCTGGTGCATGCCTGGTGCATGCCTGGTGCCAAGCTGCAGGATGTTGCGACAGGTTTCATCCTGGTTGCTTCCGCCAAAGGGCGATTTGCCAACAACCATCTCGTACCTCAAGTCCAGCCAAGCCAAGGAGTCGCATGGAGTCGCACCAAGACCATCTTCAATGAGAACATCTATGTAGCAAATGGATGCAAATGAATGCACATGAATACATTCCCTTCCATTCCACTCCATCTACATTACACATCATTACACTACATTAGAAAAAACGGGTCAGAGTCATGACTTCACCGAGGTGCAGCAGCACACCCATCTCCCACATGTCCAAACTTTCATTGTGACCTTCTCCACGAATCATTTCTGGGGCCAGGTAGTCTGGTGTACCGCAGAAGGTGGCCCTGGACAGCGTCAAGTTACTATGTGGATCTATGTGGTATGGTACAGTAACCTATCACAAAACCGGACCCCACACAATCCACACATGGGATGGGCATGCATTGATATCATTGATCGACAAAGGTCTGAATGGATTGATAGCTTTCCCCAAGAACTGGGCAATTTGCCGAAGTTTGACCCAGGCGACGGCGACAAGAAAAGATAGAAAAAGATGAGGAAAGCACAGCAAAGACCAGCCTGTAGGAGACATTCTCCAAGACGTTCGACCATCCAAAGTCAGCAAGTTTAGCGTGCTGATCTTTGTCCAGCAAAATGTTTTCGGGCTTGATGTCCCTGCAGCTAGAACATAAACAGCCAAAGAATGATTCAAGGTGGTCCACGGTGGACACACACGGTTCCACTCTTCATGTTTTTTTTTGCAGTTTTTTGCTACGTTCATGGTTGCGCCTGTGAATAATCTGCGGCGTTTGGGTGTGCAAGTACTCCAAGGCATCACAGACTTCGTAAAAATGTCGAGCTGCGAGCTCACAGGTGAACTTGCCATACCTGGATTGGACATCAAGGACAAGACAGGACAACAATAACAGGAACCGTTATGCTATCTCATCCGACAGGCCAACAAAAAATAACATAAGTAATTCATAAGCATCAAAAGTGGAACTTGTTCAGCTTGTCTAAGAAGAGTTGCTTACTGAGCAGGTCGAACATCCCGCCGCCCTCGGCAAACTCCATTCCTGTGGCTTACTCAGGCAGGTAAATGTTTGATAATCTTTGAAGACCCAACTCGCAACATTGGCAATGCATGAAAAGCCAATAGTGTCCTAGACTGAAAACTCCAGCAGAAACTTTCTTTGCAAACCAGCTTCCCAAGTACACGTGGCTCTCGTCTTGGAAGCTGAAGTGAAGCTCCACGATGTGTGGATGTCTCAGGCTTCTCATGATGTCGATCCTTAGGGGGGGGCGGCTGTTGAGGTTTCATTAATTTGCAAATGAATGCAAATGACGACAAGTAAAAGAATCACAAACGCAAATGCCCACAGAACACATATGAAAATAACATGTGGACAGCAAACGCATTCATACCCCGATAAAATCCAATAAAATAATACCAAATGCATGTCAACATATGTCAACACTTCTACCTTCAGAAATCCTCAAGACCGACACCACTCTTCGCATCCTTCCATTCTTGCCTGGGAATTCTAGTGACGGGCCACGACCCACAATCTTCACCAATTCAGCCTGGTCTCTCCCTCTTCATCTGCTCTGTGAGGCCATGCTGCCTGGGATCTGAAACAGCTGCGGTTTCGGCAGCTTTTGAAAGCACCTTGATGGTTTCAATGCGTGAAAAATTGCAAATTGGGGATCATCATTCCTAAGAGGCGTGGAAAAAAAAAAATCAAACCATCAATTGTTTGCATTTGGTGGAAAGTACCAAGGTATTGCATGCAAGGAGTGCAACGAGGTTTTCACTTTATTCCACTTTTGCCGAACCCTGGCAGAATTTATGTGCTTCACCAGTGTTCACCAACCGAGCAATTCCATGCAATTCTACACCACAAACCGATCCCAGTGCTGACGGGAAGCTCTATGAGAGACAATGGGATTTTCTTCACCTCTAGCGGCAACTCTCCACCAACTGGACACCATCTGGACACTGTCTGGGCGCTGTTGAAGATATTTGAAGATATTTGTATGTTTAAATTTGTTGAATTACATTGTTTAATGTTGTTTATGTTTGTGCATCTTGCTGGCACAGTCGAGTCTAGTTCCAATAATCCCATCCCAAACTGCGAGGCTGAAGGACTTCTCCACTTGCTCCTAGTTGCTGCCCAAACGGGTGTGGACGATCGACCAGCGCGGTAACCTCGCCTCAAGTCACCGCGTGTTTCTCCATGCAGCGAGCAATGAGCATGCAGCTGGGCTCCAAAAATCACAGAACTGCAGAGTTTGGTCAGAAGATCCTCAGAAGATCCCAGCATATCCCAGCTACAGCAGCTACGTATCTGGGGTCCTTGCCAAACCTCTCCAAAGTAGCCACGGCCCAAAGGCTTGTCAAGCTTTAGATCCTTGGTGAGACTCACCTCGGCCCTGGGGACATTGAACCACGAAGAACAACAGGAATCAGCAAATCATACCGAAAGCTCCTGGAAACCCGCTGTGTCAGTCATCTCTGTCAGCTGAGGATCATGTTTGCTCTTCGGCCAGGCCAAGCCATCTGTTGCCACTGACTGAGCAGAACCCGCCATATCTTGGGCCAAAGGCTTCAGTTGCGCATCAAACCAATCACTATATATATATATATGTGCATATATATATATTTACATACAAAAACACATCCAGACAGCACACACACACACACTCACATGTATATGTATATTATATGCATACGCAAATGAAAACAAATACAACTTGGACACATACGAATATCAACATGCATATCATGATGCCCCAACACTAGATGATGTTGGTGTACTCTTCATGATGCTCAGAATCAATCAACATGCCGCAGTAATATGCAGTAATGCTCTGGACGAGACCTTTTCTCCAGCTATTTTCTGCACCATCCTCCAGCAATGCCCAGGACCTCAAAGCCGTCCAAGGCCGAAGGCTGAAACATGCTGAACCCCCAGGAGCTACGGCAGCACAGCCAGACCCAGAGCCGCTTTCAATCTTTTTCATTTCTTCCACCGCCATTTTTAGGCATGGCATCAACATGGGTCTGTGTTGAAACACTCAAATGTAACATCTTGAAACGATATTCATTTCGAGTAGAATGTTCGAAGTATACAGGAGTATGAATTACTTGCTACATACATCCCTGGAAGGCCAGGGGCGCCATGCCGGCGCGGAATAATGAGGTCAAGGCTTCAGAAGTGAACATCGAGTGCTGAATGAACCAGTAACAGGGCTTGGTCAAGAGCATGGGAAGCATCGCATGACTCATAACTGATGATACCTTATGTCTTTTCTGCGATGCCAAGAAATCCTGATGCCTCAACCAACATGATTTGACTGCGAATTGCAGTCAGTGTTCTTGGTGCAAACGATCTTGAAATTACAGATGTTGGACTGGCAACACTTTGTTTGCCGGTACCATGACAGTCGCAAAGCAGTTGTTTTTAATCAAAACAATGACTGTTACAAGTTCAGATCTCAATCTTCGCCTGAGAGGCTGTACTCCATTGAAGATTGGAAGCATGTCCAGCGATTCACCAGGATCACGCATCTCCATTCAGCACTTTGTCAAGTACCTGTCCGTCAGCCACAACTGCTGACAACTGTTACTTTACTAGTGAGTGCACTTTTGTCACATCTTGATTTCATCAAATAAGCACTAACATCCATCCTTCGATTTCAATTGCTAGCTATGATAGCAACGATAGCAATGTATAGCAATGTAGCTTTTCAGCACGTGGCCAGCTTAAGGAATATCTCCCGTTGCACTGCCTCCTCATTGTGCTCTTGGATCCGGAGCTGTGCCACCGTCTTGGAACCCATGAGCCCTTCCATGGCCTTCTTGAGAGCCATCAGAACCTTCGGAAGCTGCAGAGAATTGCTGACATGGCTGACATGGTATGTGGATGACCCCCCTGCCTTCCGTATGTATACACCCCTCCTGTTCATACATTTCCATCAAATGTATGAAAGGTACTGGGGGGCAGGTGGTCAAGCCCGGCGACGGAAAGGGGTGTCAAGAAGGTTTATACATTTTTATTTTTGATTGAATGAGACATGGGGTGGACCTGCCTTGCACCAGCACAAAACAATATTTGGGAAACCCCAAGAATGTATTCCTCTGGGGGGTGAGCTGCTACTATGAACTATCAATTCATTGCCAGGGAAAATCTTAAAATGTATGAGACATAGGGGGGGCCATGTTCATTTACTGCAGTAATCTGGATGAGATATGATGAGATGAGACAATATCAAATGTATAAAAAAAATATATATATATAAGGGGGACTAGGTGGTTTCCTGTAAAACACTGGAAATGTATGAAAGTAAGGGGGACTATGTTGTTTCAGCCTCAAAAAATTGATGATGCCCTTCGATTGATTTCCACAGCTTCTTTCGATATCTGGCCACAGAATCAATGAGTCCAAAGCAATTTCCAGTCGTTCTCTTTGCCAAGGCTGCAATCTCACGAAACTTCGAGGCTTTGAAAACAGGGGGAGGGGCCTCAAAAGCGTTGCCGCTATTTCGTAAGATTCCCCAGGAAAACTCCATGAGCATCAAAGATCCATGGCCTTGCAAAATCAATGTATGAAACCCCCTCCCCACCTTTTTCTAAACAAGCTTTTGAAGCCAAATACCGAAAATGTATGAGGAACATCCCCCACCTCTTTAGGTAATCTCTTAATTTTACCAAAAAAAGGTTCATACAATAATACCCGTTTCAGAGGGGGAGGGGGGGTGGAAATGTATGAACAAATCCCTGCCTCCCCCCCCTCTCCATACATTTTAAGGGGTGGGGGATTGTGGATGTATGTGGCATGATATGCGACATGGCTTCAATGGAAGCATTCCGCACCAACATGTACCAAGCAAACATCAACGCATGCAGCATGACCGCATTGTATGCTGGCAGGAACGCATTGAGTGTCTGCCATTGTCCGTCTGTTAAGTTCTTGGCGTCACACTGCAGTACTTGGCTTGAGCCAAGAGGCTCGCTCAGCGAGAATGAAAAGGATAAGTTTTGTAGCCAGGCTCATCTTCTCAATATTGAAGACAAAAATCACCTTGGGGGGAAGTTGGGTGAGGTCCCACTGACCCTGAAGAGAATCTGTGCTGCTGCAACCTACCCCAAATGAAAATCCTGTCAAAGAAGAATCAGAAATACAGCATGTGGTAGGAGGTCAGTCTTTGTTGAGTCTGCAAAGCAACCTGACAAGCATGCTAGACCCTGCGGCAACATGCATCCAAGGACGGAATACATAATCCAAGTCTCAATGTAGCATGTGCAGGTCACACCCATGTAAGCAATGAAGCTCATAATTGCTCTCCACGCACCAATCCCTTCCTCCACTCTGGGAACGGCTCGCTGTCGTGCATAGGAAACTTTGTATGCCAACAGCCTTTTGATGGGAAAGTTGGAGAAGAAGCACATGATTGACATTGATGGACAGGTGACGCCGAACCTGAAACAATGAGTCAAGCAGCGAAACGCAAACGCAAACAAATCAAACAAATATGTGAGGGCCCATATGAACTCAATGTCTACAGTCTACACTGTCTCATTTCTATCCGACTTGGGAGCCGACATTGCAATGAAACCAAAGATCAACACAAGATTCATATAGTCTGCAATTTGGTCTGCTTCGCCGTAAGGTGGAAGCTTTGCCTTGAAATGGTGTCATTGGCCGCATGCCACATACAACACAACGAACCATGACTGCAACATGTTAAATCTATGCTGTTGCACCTGCAACTCCAAGTAGGTGACGTGCTTTCGGCCGCTTTCTTGACCTGTTTTGCGTAGCCGGTAGCACTACATTTTGATTGCTTTCATATGTTTTCGTGCTGGTCTGGGGAAGGTCAAAAAATCCCATGCAACTTGGCCGTTGATGACATAGCCTTCACTTTGCCAAGGATCTGATCTTTTTCTTTTCCGAACGCACGCTCCAGTACACCGACAGCAGTGTCACGCAAAGGCCAACTGCTTCTGTAACCACCTCACCAATGGACGAGGCTTCAGAGTTTGCAACATGCTAAGATATCCCAATTCATTACAGACTTACTACATCCGACACGTAAAGCAAGTCTCGCTCATCTCCCATTCCGACTGATAAGCGGTGCCAAAAGAGGTTGAAGAGGGGCCATCCATCAGAATCGATAGTGATGGATCTTGAAATCACTCGAAATCGCAAAAACTGCTGAATTCCGGTGCTTTTCTTCTCAATGGTGCGAACTGAGATGTACTGACGCCTCTCGGGAACTTGGGCGTTGCATGCCTATCGTTTCAGCTATTGCATCTGAGGTGCTTGGCAAACGAAGAAAAAATAAAGGTCTGATCTCAACTTTGACACGCAGCCTGGCAGCAGTATGAAACAAAAACGCAGCTGCTGGGACTTTTTGATCTTTTAGGGGGGCTCTGTGTGCAATTCACTTCCCACATCCCAACTCTGCGAGCTTGCCGTGACGTGGGTAATCTCTAGAAGTATGTAGTCACCGCAGGCACTCACTCAAAGCCAGACTGGAGTCGCATGCAAATTTTCGCTGATCATTGCTGTCCAAAAGACAATGCCCCCATGGAATTTGATGAATTTGTAAAAATGCGGTGCTTGCATGTGTCTGCAACTGTCAAACGTGCATCCGGCCTGACATTTCTCCTCCATCACAGCCCTCTGCTTCATATGGCTGCACAAAGATGGTAAATGCAAAAGGGTAATAGAACACCACAAACTTCACAGCAAACAGCTTCACGACCATGTTGGCTTTAAGGTCGGTCTCTGTGCGCCAATTCTCCTTCTTGCTGAGCCAAGTGGATAACGGCGTCCAAATCGAGTCGACCAGCTTGATATTGAGAGTAATGGCATACTTTGCAAGAAGCACAAGTGTGCCGTTTGAAATCCCAAAGGTTGAACCCTCAGGGTCACTGAATGCTCTCGACCTGATCTTTGTGATGCACTCTGCTGCGACAACCGTCTCCAGCATGAAGAGCAAGCAAAGTATCCAATGCACCAAATTCTGCGAGCCTTCACACACAGTTCCGCGATATGCGTCGCTGAACTCCTTCCTCACCTTGGATTGCAAGGAAGATGAGGTATAGATGTCTATTAGTAGAATCAGCTTTTCAGTTGCCCTTTGACCTTGCTTTTTCTCACAACCCAAGCCGTGAGCCAAATATTGGCAGCATTTGCAGATTGCATAATTGCTTTCTCCCTGCAAGTCGTGTCAAACAAAGATTGTAATCATTGCCAGAAACAAGACACAGAGCTTCCCATGTAACGGAGTCTGCAATTTACATGAGAAATTATGTCTCAGTGGCAGGTGCAATCTCTTGCTCCGCCCCATGCATTCCCCAGCGAAAGATCTTGAGATTTTCGAGTTGCTCATAGCGAACCTCAGAAAGCGGCGCCCAGAATTCCATGTAAGACTTTGCATCCTGTGTGCTACTTGGCAGAATCATGCCAGCAAGTACAAGCACACCAATCACAACTCAAACGAACTAAAAAAACCCTCCTGTAATTTAATGAGAGGCCAGCGCTCTCAGCGCCCACAAATCTCGTAAAAAATGCTATGTTTTGAGCATTTTCTGACATGTGTGTCCAAGTCTGTAAGCGACATGTTCTCATTGCTGCAGGTTGTCTATCAACGGTTCTATGTCATTTAGCCAGTGAATATCAGAAAGAAAATTCAATTTTGCCCTGTTGCGCCATGCTCAAATGATAGGGGTGTGTTTGCTTCTATGTTGCAGGTTTTTATAGCAAGCATGAACAAGAGGAAACAGCACTTTTGATTGACAGAAGATTTCATTTTGTCCCCAAGCAGCATTGCATCTTCCTGACAGAGCTCCCTACAGAAAGAGATATGGAATGTTTTGCAAGGGTAAGCATATTGTTCCTTTGAAAAATATTGTGTTATTAAACCCTAGTACAGCATCAACTCAGATTCTAAGGGCCACAGCATGCTTCTCATAAGTCATCGTTGAAAATTTGAAAGAATGTGGCATTTCTTGAGGAAATTGTGGCATGCCTCTATGCAACATTCTTCTATAGAGGGAATAACATTCCTTTGAGAAAGTGTAAAGCAAGACCCTGAGATGTGCATAGCATTCCTTTAGAACAAGTGCGTTCTATCTTCCATATATTTTAATGAATATATGTAATTTCTTCCATAGAGGTAGTAGTCCTTTTAGAGAAGGGTAGTATTTCCTTAAGATAAAATATGCATATACATTAGTGTTTTTCAGAAAAGCGGCATTCCTATCAGACAATACTTGATGGTTTCATGAAATCTTGATTTTAAACAACGGTATTATGCCATATTACTTCGAAAAAATATTATTCATTTGGAAAATATAATATGATTTTCAAATAACATAATTCATTGTATGATATTATTAATTATATATATACAATTACCCACAATCTTCCTTTCAAAAGTATGTAGCATCTCTTTGAGAAGTAGCCTTCAAGACACACAGCAGTCCTAGTGACAGAGTATGGCTGAGTATGGTGTGATTTACAGTAAGTTGTTGTACAAAAGGGAACCCTTTCATATATACAACAATCCATTTGAAAGAGGGTGATGTGTCTGTAATAAAGCGCAATGCATGGAATTGCCATTTGAAGAAATATAGTGTTCCTTGCAGGAAATATAGCATTATTTTGAAAGGGTATTCTTCAATAAGCAGTTGCTCTTTCAGAGACCACAGTGCAGCATGCCTTTATGCAAGTTTCCTTGAAAAGGATGCAATATATTGTATTTGTTCATTCCTTTGAAAAGAGGGTGGTATTCCTTGCTCAGAAGAAAATTACACAAACAGAGCCACCACCTCCAGAAAATCGGAAATTAGGCCTTGCTGTTCAGGAAATATGGAGAAAACATTTTCAAGGTAAAACCACCCCTATAGCCAGGTGGTACAATAAGCAAAACCACCAAAAAAACACAAAAACCGAAAAAACCGAAAAAACCAAAAAAAACAAAAAAAACAAAGATCCAGCAACTATGAGCCCCCCAACCTTTCTCTGGAATCTTTTGTTTTTTTCGTTTTTTTCGGCTTTCAGTTATGGAGTTTAATTTTGTAGGGAATTTTGTTCTTGGGGTTTGCCTGTGGGAGATGCAATGTTGAAGTGACAAGTGCAGCCATATTTTTTTCTGGATGGGTAGATTCATGGAGAAAAGTGGCAAAAGGAGACTGCCCAAAACGTGGGCGCTCACAACGCTGCTTTCAGAATTTAATATACTATAACTGTGGAAAGCGACCCATCCATATTTTTCGACATGCACACACATTTTTAATTATATTATATAATAATATGCGGTTTGCCATGCCATGATTTACAGTACCTTTTGAAAATGGTGATGTTCCATGGCTATGCTGAACCTTTGGGGTAGCTTCGTCAGGTCCTGAGACACGTCCAAGGTATGTCCAAGGCACTAAGAAAACAGTCGTCCAAATGCAAAGCATCGCCCCATAGGCAGAATCCAACATTTGCATCTGGCGCACACACAGATTGAAACATGATTAAATTGGATTGAACATGATTGAACCATCTTGAAACTTAATAAACATATAAACCCACACACACATGGCAAGTTTCAGTATTCTTTCGTCATCCTTCTTCTTTTTCTCTCTGACCCACGGTCGGGCCTGGTGTTTGTCCACCCATGGGGATCGCCGTAGAACGAAGTTGATTACGCTGAGGACAGCAGGACCAGAGATCCACCTGAAGAGTCGAATACTTCGCTTCGAACAGCTGACAGGAGGAATATGTAGGAATGTCTTGTAATATCTTGTAAAATGTCCTGATATGTTGTAATATATTGTAATGCAACTTATAGAGGAATGTTGTAATGCAACATGTTGGGCAACATGTTGTAATCAATCGATTCAACTGATCCGGCCTTGTGAAGGTGTTGAACAAGTGGAAGAAGAATGCCGCTTGAATCCCAGCGTATTGCACAATGTGATCTGCGGTTCCCTCCTTTTGACGGCGCGCAGGGTTCCATGGTTCAGTCGCAATCTCGAACCCAATGGCTTGGTCTGAGTCTGAACATACAGTACCCATGGGTACCCTAAGATCTATTGGTTTACCATCATGGTCATCATCTTTCCCATTCAATGATACTTTTCACGGCCATAAATGATCATAAAGTGGGGTATGTCGCGGTATGCCCCATTTCCGCGCAAACCCTCTTAATTTTTAAGAAACCATTCCTGCAGTGTTGGTTTGTGGATGGCCCCCCTCCTTGGGCCAACCAAAGATGCGCGACAAATCATTCCAACCACGGCGATGCAGCTCGCTCAGATGTCTCCATTTGTGGACTGCAAAGAAGTTTGTGATCGCATTGACCTACACATGATCAAAACGGAGGCAAATTGGATCAAATTGGTGCAATGTGAGAGCAAACATCCCAAAGCAGCAATCTTCGCCAAGTGCATGCCAACAAATGACTGAATGCAATTGCTTGAATTTTTTGTGAGAAGGTTTGAGCTTAGCAGCTTATTTGATCTTGTTTGTGGGGGGAAAACAGAAAGCTCCGCACAGAAAACAACAACAACAACTGCCAGAACTGCGGAGCACGTTTCCCATTCCTTGTTCTGGATACATTGCATCACAACTGGCGTTTCTTCACCCCACAGTACATTGCTCGCAGCCGGTGCCTTCTGCAGCTCTTCAATGTTGATGTAGTTGAGCATATGCCGTCGGAGAACTCGTAGAACTTGAGGTTCCTCAAAAAGGTCCAGCTTGTCCTTCAGCTCCTTTCGAAACAGCACCTGAGATGCCAACATTGCCAGATCTTGCCAGCTCCATCTTGGAAACTTTGTCAGCCATGGACTATGGATGAAGGATGGTTAAGGTCAACAGTTGAACCACCTTTCATATGCGAATACAGGATTCACTGCAGATCCATGTGCTTCAGGGTGAACTTCCTTCAGGGGATGTATTACCAACAGTTTCTTTTCCAAAGAGCCAGCTTTTTTTTTTCCCTCTCTCTCTCTCGCTCCCCAAGCTGGTTCTTTGTACTTGCTCAAATTTCAACCCATCTCATCAGCATAGTAAAGGACTTTGCAGAGGGGCTAGTACGTTCCAAAAACCAAGTAGGCATGGAAATAAGTGAGCAATTGGCTGAGGGGCAGGTTGTGCTTCTCACTGTTGAATGTAGAGAACTGGACCTAGAAGAGCCCCACACATCCTACCCCATCCTTCACAAGTTCGAAGTTAACAGGAGACTGGTAAGGCGAATCAGGCACCCAGGCCGGGCAAGAGTTGTCCATGGGCTCACCAGTGTGAAGATTTCTGTATGCCTGACCCGGCTTATCTGCATCCATTTCATGCGGCATTGTTGTGAACTCCTGGGTCGCAGCTATGGTTTAGCAGCCATGCTTTCTCTGTTCACTGACCAGTGCCATAGGAGAGTCAGGGACAAACACACACACACACAACATCACAGAATTGCTCAAAAGTGCCCGAGAAACTCCGATTTTTCTCTGATACATCTGTTTGGCTTTTATCATGTGTCGCGCAGAGAGAATCAACATGACACATAATTTGACAATGTATGAAAAGTATTGAAAAGTATGATGCTTGAAGCAGCTTGGATATCATTGGATACCCCAGTCCTTTGCATTCTTGTATTCTGTTGGGCAGTCGAAACCAACCATTTCGTACGCACTGGGCTTCACCCGAGCGCGAGCCTGGTGCGTGTCCGACCAGAGGGTCTTGGATGAGGTGGAAACTGAGGGTCTTGTATGTGTATGTGTGCACTTATCCATCTATCGATCTATCTATCTATCTAGCCTTAGCTATCTATCTAGCTATCTAGCTATCTATCTATCTATCTATCTATCAATCTAGCTATCTAGCTATGTATTTATCTACCTATCTATGTATCTGTGTGTATCTGTGTGTATCTGTGCATATATGCGCGTGTCTGTATGTATCTGTGTACTGTGTATCTAGCTATCTGTCTATCTGTCTGTCTGTCCACCTATGCCTCTACGTATGTGTCTCTACGTATCTATTGATGTATCATGATGTATCTATTCCCTCAAGAATTAGAGGTTTCGCGAGAGAATGACCAATTGTGGTGTCCCTTTGTGCCCCATCCCATCTTTGAGCAGTGCTGTCGCCCCGAAGGTACCCCAGCCCAGTTTCCTCCACACGCTCTGCGAGGGTCTCCAACATCTCGGTATCTTGGAGCCAAATGGTGAGGAAACTTTCGTCCCTGTCGATGGAGTTGAAGCTTTCAAGCTTGCACTTGAACTTATCGCCTGGGCAGGACATGGGATGAGAAACAACATCCCCAACTGGTGACAGTAACTAGTGACAGTAACTAGTGATCATATTTCCCTATTACATCTATTAATCCCTATTATTGAATTATTGGGATTATTGGGTGATAAACCAAGTTCTCTTTATCTTTTCGCTTCGCAACTGGTGCCAGTGAAGCGTTCCTGCTGTGATGCCCTGCCTGTCAGGATCTTTTCAATCTGAGCTCGTACCAGGTCAATGAACTCCTCGGACAAAATAGGACACGCTGCTGATGCATCTGATCACTGTATCTGCAGAAAGCTGCATCAAGCTGCAGGAGATCTTGACATCCAAAACAACCAAAAACATCACCCAACATCAGTCCAACATCTAGAAACTGTTCAGCTTGACCGCTGTCCTTCTTGGTAATTGGTGGCTCAAATGGCCGCTCCTGCGCCCCACTTCGAGGAAAAATGGCCTGCAGCATGGGGGTTCCCAGTTGACGGTGCCGGCTTGCCATGACAGTCATGCAAGTAAGTATGCAGGATTGTGCAGGTCAAATGTATCTCTACCGCATCTATTATTTTCTTTATCCAAAGTGCACTTAGAAGTCAACTCCTTGTGTAACTTTGAGCTTACAAAACCTAGCGCCGCGTTCCGTTGGGCAATGTTTCATCCGTCCATCCATTGGTGTCATTGGTTTTCGTTCCCTTCCACGGTATTGCCTTACATCCGACTAGATTAGAATAGGATTAGAATAGGATTAGAATAGTGACATTATTTGACATTACAATACATTATATATATAATATATGTATATACTGTAATATATATATATACACTATACATTCTTTCGGCGTGCTTGAAGCATGTTCATACCGTTGCGTACAACACTCGTCAGGGAACAGAAAAAATTAATCACTGAGGTCACCAAGAATGCAGCTGCAGTCAACAAACGGTCTGCAAACTGACACCTCCCCGTTGGTTGCCAGTGCCATGCATGTACCCAGTAGGAGCCTTCCAAGTTTCTATTGGCGACTCGACGTTGCCCATCAGTCCGTATGGATCACCATCCACTGGGCCAGGCGAGTGACATTGGTGCTGGGACTACTTCCAAGACCAGAGTGATTACATTCATCTACAGACCACCTGGAAGCTACCCCTGCTGTCATCAAGATAGTACACTCCAGCCGCTGTCCAGCCTCTTTCTGTTTGAGAATCCGAGAAACTGTGGGATTGAGGATTCTGGGCAGTGCAAAGAGCCCCGAAAACGACACCAAAGGGAGCTGACTGAACCCGAGATGTGCAGATACACACGCACACAGACACAGACACAAACACAAACACACACCTATCGGATATATGTTGTAATATGATGTAATATGTGTATACTGTCTACTTGTCTTGTATGTTGATCAGCTGCGAAGCGCATTGTTTGTTTCCCAAAAATGTTGCATGTTTCGCATTGATCATCCTGGCTGTAGCCCTTGCCCCCTTCCAACCCTTCCCCAGCAGCGGTACCTGGCAATGGAAAAACCATCACAAATTGCCATGGCCTTGGTTCTCCAAATTGCTTCCTCTTTGAACGGCACAGCACATGACCGTTTGGAATACCAAGGAGCTCATCATTCTGGATGGCATCCACACCGAACAGGGAGATCGTGGTTTTCCCATCCTGGAAGCATCTCAGCTCCCAAGCATGTCACTGGGTCCATGAACTTTGCAAATTGGTGCATTTGAGAGCTGCTTGCCTGCTGCCTGCTTGCCTGTTGTGCGTTTGTGCATGTTTGTGTGTTTGTGTCTGTGTCTGTCTATATGACTATCTATCTACAGTACCTATCTATCTATATAACTATCTTTTATCTCTTCTCTCTCTCTCTCTATCTGTCCGTCCGTCCGTCCGTCTGTCTGTCTGTCTGTACCCATCTCTTTCTCTCTCTCTCTCTCTCTCCCTCCCTCCCCGTGCAAGTGTGCGTAAGTGTGCGGACAAGTGTGTGAGTGTGTGTGTGTGCGTGTGTGTGCGCGCATTGTCTATTTGTCTGCTTGTCTCTTTGCTTGATGGTCCGGCATGTCTGGCGTTTGGTGCATCTCTGTGTGCTTGTGTCAGCCACTTCAGTAAGACTCTGCTACTGCGCATAGCGGGAAAACACTACCAAATCGCAACATCTTCCGATCATTTGCGACCAACGACGCGCCAGCTCAAAATGCCCGAGCATATTTGACTATAATGGTCACCCCGTCTCACACAGCATCAGCCAGAAATGAAAAATATCGAAAACAAACACACAAGTGGCCCTGTTCACTTCTGCCATGACTAGAGAGCAAGCTTCCAAAAGGCTATCTGCTTCCGCCCGCGCCATGCCACAAGTTTTCAGATGTAGCCAGGGAAATGTGGCACTGATTGAGCCCAAACTTGCAACTGATCGCAAACCCAAATGCATGTCTCAATTTCGAGATGCTATATACTTGTAATATTTCTGTCCTTGTATGTGATCATCATATAACATCATATAACTATATAGGTTGGAGGGAAATATCAAGGATTGAGCGGCTTATGATTTTGGTGGAACATGGTGGAACCTTGCCAAATGCCAGGAATGGAGGTGGCAGGCAAACTCAAAAGCAGCAAGCTTGGTGTTCAAATGCTTGGTTGCTGGTATGGTATACGGAAGCCGCATCCATCTACCATTTTTCGCTAACAAACAGTCGTAGGACATTTGGCTTTCTGGCTGCAAATGCAGCAAGGGCCGGCTCTCTGGATCTAGACTGTCTGGTAGCTGACTCCTAACCTGAGATAGCAGCAGCTTGGCCGCGAGGGGCTGCAACAGATGCCAAGACAAATTTAAGTATAATTAATAATTATAGTATATAAGTCCAAAGAGTGACTCATCATCTCATCATAGCATTCTGAATAGCAATCATGAGTGATAAAACACGTGCACATAGAAGCTTGCGAATTAGGATGAATTAGGCAGTTTGTCACAATGCAGCAATGTAGCCTCTTTCGCCGCTGTGCGTCTCTTCCAGCCTTGCCCTCATCGATGTCATGAAGCGTTCTTTCCCGAAAAGATGGAAGAGGAAGCTGAAACGTAAGGAGAAGGGCCACAAGATACCTGCATGAATCTGCATTCGACCCAGCTTTGCACTTCCATGATATGCCAGTTCCATTCAACATGCATGACCAAAGGTGACCTTTAGCATCTTTTAGCCAATATCAAGCAGAAGGATGCAGAAAGTACCAAATGAATCCCGATCATAACGTGCACAGGTGCAAACTGTTGAAGGTGCAAAGGACGGACTGCTCCGACATATGTCTCCTCAGGGAGCTGAGCAAACTCTCCGAAACTTCGATGATCACCCCATGGAAGCCCCACATGACTACATAATACGGCTTAAATGTTTTATAGTTTAATCTCTATCTATCCATCCATCCATCCATCCATCCATCTATCTATGCATGCACATCTTCTCAGAATACATCTAGTCGGTGTATGCATACATGCATATCATATACATACATACATATACCTATACATATATATATATAATATACATGTGTTTTTGTGACACTGGTGGCCTTTGCAATAAACAATCCCTACATGGACCTTTAGGTCAATGTCAAGACACACACACAGAGATAACACACACACACATATATATACATATAATGTCATCTGTCTTCACTGCGCACTTTGTTGCTCGTTCAATCGGGGTTCAATAGCACAACGCCCATGGCTGGCATGAAGAGCTGCGCAACCTGACACAACAACCGATCCATCTGCGACACTTCAGCGAGTGCACCTGCCTGACCAAAGAAGAGCACCAGTCCAACTGCACTCGCCCTGCCGCACGGCACTAGCATACATCAGCATCCTCAACATCTAAATAGTTGAGATATATTACATTGTTGTTATATATGTATATACAACATTATACACATATAGATACATTACATCATGTAAAACGCGTACAAAACATAATTATATTATATAGTTACTTAATGCATCTTAATGTTACTTATATATCGTCCCTCGAGCACTTGTTTTCAGCTGCACGGCATGCCTTGATGAGGTTGGGAATCTCTCACAAGTGTAGACCTTGGCCAAGGCCATCCAAGGACAAACGATGTCTGGTCGATCATGGTTGGCCCATTGAAATCCATTGAAGGGATCTGGGTGTCTGGCCAGGATGAAATTGAAGGCTGCCGACTGGGCCATCAGGACTATCCCATAAAGTGGACCAGCAGAAAACCACCTCGGATCTGACCATCTCCGGCCGAGTCTCCGGCACAGTGATAATCAAAATTTGAAAAGAGTGTGCAAGGGTTTAACAAACAAACCAGCAGCATATCTAAAACCTATGGCTTGGCAATCCTTGTCGTCCTTGGCAAGCCTTGCGACACAACCTATACCAACTTCCTCCACAACCACCATCGAATCGCATCGACAAGAAGCATGTGATGACCTTCAGCTACGGTGGTTGCAAAGCTCAAGCACGCCGCCAAAAAGAGTGCTCCACGGATCAGCCACCGACGACTTACAACCTGCATGGGGGTCACTGCAACAGCTTTGCTTTGCCAATTTCACCATGGGTCAATGTGACTTCTCAGTGTCTATGCAAAGAGACAAGCTATGACAAGCTATGACCAGCTACATAAGGATTTGGCTTCCCCATACTTGGGATATCTTGGGATTGAGTGCTTCCTTTTGTCTCTTTGGAGGCAGTAAGTTTTCAATAGTGTTTCGTTCCGCTGCCATCTGCCCAAGTAGCAGAAGAAATTGCAGCACAAAGAACAGTGCCGCAAATCTCAAGCCTTAGGCATCACTGAGTGAATCAGCCATCCAGGGCAGGCCTCTCAGAAGTACCCTTTGAAGGTTTTGACATGTTTTGAAGGTAGAACGAAAACAGAAGGAGCAATCCAAGTGCAATTTTCGATCATTTAAAGAATCATTTCAATCATATTCCCTGAATTGTCCATAATTGTCCGGATTAGATGTTGACCTTTTGAAGAGGATTTCAGCTCTTCAAAGGATGTGCACAACTTCGCACAACAAACACACGTCAATCCGCCAACAACTTTGGCCAGGTGGCATGTAGCCTTGTGCCACCACCATCACTAAATGATGGTCTGGTGGACCCTGCAGCAAGGAAAGCCCAGAACTTCCTGCCATGTGGGCCTGTAGCAACGGAAAAGGTGTTGGTAACCCATGGTCCATCTGGATCCTGATCTACAATTGAGCACCAGATAGCACAAGCTTCGACGAAAACGTATCACAACCCGCAACCAAAAGCTTCCTGCCTTGCAAAAGGGGAAGGCAATCAACGCCAGTGGATTTTGTTGTGAAGTGGAGGTCAACGCTGTCATGGGTGCCCAAGCCTATCAGGTTTGGCGGTGAAAGTCAGAAAGTGATTTTGGCCAAAAAAAGTAGACACTTTCGGATTGGTCCTTTCGGACAAGGACGAGAACATCGTCAGTAACTTCGCACATGACTACACAGTACTTACGGATACTTACGGACTACTGGCTTCAGGTTCAGTTCACGCTGTGAGATGCTGAGGCTCCCTGCTCGCATGCACTGAGATGCGCAATTGATCAAGAAAACTATGAGACAAAGAAAAGCCTCAAAGGAGCAGCATTGTTTGGCTCTGATATGCTCCGATGCCGCCACAACAAGCTTTGCTTCTTTGAATGTGCCATCATAGAGTTGCGCATGTGGAATCCTTTAGGTGCTTCATGCAGTGACCTCGTGGACTGGTCGAGCGCATTGTTAATGAAAACCGAGTCGTTGGTAACTTTGGATAAATCTTCACAAAGTTGTGACTGTCTTCCCAATATCTTGGTACATCTTGGTACATCCTGGCGCAAGGAACTGTGCTTGCGGCATCCGAATGGTGCAGTGTCTCCAATCCGATGGCTTTTACCTCTTTGGGATCTGGTGAGCTCGTCAGCGAAACTGACTCTGGTGCCCAGGGAAGGTAAGTGGCCTCCTGACCAGGGGCAGGTGAGTGCCTGTGCACCTGCCACTGTCCCTCCAGTTGCTTCTGTAGCACAGTATGTAACTAGTATGTAGATTAAACATATTGAATGAGAACAATAAAGTATGAAGCATGCTTCTACCGTTGCTTTGCACTTGTCATGGCTTGCCCATGCCTGCCTTGTCGTACATGTCTAAGAGCGTGAAGTAGCCTTCTTCCCTCTTGCCCATGAGGTACAAGAACCGTGGCGACTCTGGAATCACTTCCAGGCGGCACAAGATGTATAACACCAGAGCTGGCAGCATCAACAGGAAGATGAAATCTCGGTTCGCAACAGTGCAGTGCATCTGCCCAGCAAGACCTATGGCCTTCTGACAGTGAAGTCCTGTGTGGCAAACGTCTGTTGCATCCAAATATATAATGGGGAGGTGCATAATGGATCATAATGGCATAAGCCCAACATTTGGTTTACAATCATTAACTAACTGAATCATTAAGAATTGTGCCCATGCGTGCCACACAAACATGTCCAATTGCTCCATCACATTGAATTCACATTGCATAGAAGCAGCTGATCCACTGCATCTGTGGGAGCAAACAGCTGATGATTACTGCAAAAAGTGCGCCAGTGGGCCTCACCGAGAGCAATGTATGCCCCGGCAATGTTCTATGCAATCAATATTCGACTGCCAAGAAACACAACGAACCTGGAACGCCTGGAATACATAGACTTGGTAGATGCAGGAATCAGTTTGCAATTGTACCCAACCATTCCACCGAACATAAACTACTTCAGAACTTTACCATGGCGGATTTACCATGGCCGTTTCATACTTTACACCAGGCATGAGGAATCGGCCTGCCACAACACCACACCGTGAGATAGAAGCCACGACCCTTTGCTGGAAGCAACTCAGCAATGAGGGGTAGCAGCGCTGCCATGATGCCACCAGAGCAAAGGCCTGGTGGAAGAAACTGATGCAATCAACACAATAAACCATTGCGAAAGCACAAAGGAATCAAAGGAATGGTTGAATCATGTTTACACCCAATCTTGAATTAACAGTATTTGAAATATCTTTAGTTTCGCAGCTGGCCTATGAGGAAGCGAGCGCAAAGCGTCAGCTCCAGGGTCCTGTGCTTCGCATTGTTGGCGATTCAGCTGCGCAACCATTCAATGTCCACATTGCATGAATAGGCCGGGTTTGAGGTTGAAAATTGATGCGAATCAAGCCAGCACCCCCAAAAAAAGCAGCATCAAAAACTTGCTGCAATTGTCTGACTCGTTGGTGCAAACCATAGGGATGGTGGGGCAAAGGTTAACAGCGGTTAACATTCCACTGACTTTGCGTCAAAGATTCCTGGAACCTTGCATGAAGAGGGCAGCTGCGAAAGTAAGGAGAAGGAGGTTTCTCATGACCATTGCTCTGCCGTACCTGTCCTTGCGCGCGGTTCGTTGTGACGACGAAACCACACATCAGCAAACCAGTGTTAAATATATATGCTAAGTAATTCTGACACTCTGCGAGCAAGCTTCCGCCAACCAACCAAAAAGCACCAGGGAAGTTGCGTTGCCAATGCTCATCACAGCCAGGACTGCTTGAACACTTAGCTCGCTCAACGACCAATCCTGAGTGATCAAGCTGCCCCCCATCCAACTTTTTCGGAAGCCCCTAAAAAATAGAAGCACAGCTCGGCCCTTCAAGAGATTCAAAAAGTGGAGTCTTGAATTTTGAGTTCCTCTGCGAGACTTTCATCTTTCATGGTGACTTTCCTTTTCCCCTATGTCTCCTAGCTGCTGTCGAAATAAGCCCCATTGCGAAAGGAGTTGGCCTCAGAACATGTGCTGGCTGTCGCGCAACTGGAGTGCAACTTCCAGTGGCATCAGTGGCACAAATGAAGAACCTGGTCCAACTACCAACAACCCATTCCTTTTGGGAAGGCGAACCCATGAAAAGGAGCACCGCCATACAACCCCACAATTGGCTCAACTCGGTGGCTCATTCATTGCACCCAGCCAAAAGCAAATCAGAAAGGCAGATAGGAGGAGTTCCCATACCTCAGCTGTTCATGCGAGAAGCAAGGAAGTTAGCTTTATGTTGGAGAATCCTGTGGCAATGATTGCTCTCCTTGCAGCAAAGGTGCAAATTGCCCAATCGGAAGGCCCTCAATGCAGTGCCCAACAGTGACGAAGCCATTAGACATCCTGACAGCTTCTCATGTGCTGAAACGTAGAGAGTCAAACAATGAGGTTGGTGAGACATGCCGAGACAGCCCAGTGGGACTGACCCAAAACCCCACTTGTGACTGTGCGGCACTTTCATCTGTTTTCAGGTGGAGGCCGTATAGTATGTATAGTGGGCCTAGTAGCTGGTACAACTGCAGAACTTTTTCTGGAAGCTTTGGTGACGAAGCCTTGGAATATCTTTGGGTCAGCTATGTTTCCTCATTACATTTATGACATGTCAAAGGCTTTCGCTTCCTGATGGCCTGCAGGCAGCCGAAAAGGGCTACAGCAGAGCTGAATTCTGACTTCGCTATCCTTGTGCGCAGGATGGAGCAATGGCATCGATTCAAACCATGGCCCAATGGCATTACAAAGTCTTTTGTTCAACAGCTGGCTCAAAATGTGTAAACATCCTTCAACACATTTCCACAAGCACTTCTTCAAATGCAAGGCACGGAGAAAGACGAGAAGGCTGTGGCGCCCCATGAGCTTCAGGGCTACAGCGTGGGGCAAGCCTGGAGCCAAAATAGCCACCACAGGGAATCTCCTTTGATCCTCAAGCTAGGCTGAGTGTTGCAGGCGGTTGCGTCCTTGAAGAATCTTGACATCAATATATAATTATACATCAATCAAAACTCAAACTAGCACAGCCATGAAATGCCATGCCCTGAGTGTGCAGGTCCTTACTCATGCTGGTTCATGACATCTTTTGCATCCGACACTTTTTGGGCACCTGACACCTCAATCTGCTCCAGGAGGAGCTTGCAACCTGGAAACAAGCTGGTGAGCACCATGTGATGTCCCTTGCCCCTCCTGCCACCCTTACCAAAACTTTGAATCTCACAAGGTTTGTCTACGTCTACATAGTTTTTTTGAGAGAAAATGGCCACTGCAAATGGACATCAGGACTGATCCATTCATGCTCCACACACAGATCATGTTGCACCCTCACATGTCTCAGCATCTTTTGCAAAGCCAGTTTGGGATGTCATGCTTTCTGAGGATTCCAGATTTGCTTTCAGGGATTTTCAGGGTGTATGTGAGATATTTCTGTGACAAAACGACATCCTCCAGGATCCACACGCCGCATCCTCTGGGCTTAGCAATGGCAGCTGAGGATGCTCCGCCAGGTCGCCGGGATGCAGGTCTTGGAGCCAATCGGAAAAGGATGGGGCATCCTGCAGGATGGGCAGAAATTCCCCGACCAACCCGACCAAGGCATGTTTCATTTGTCTCGTGTATCTGGAACACTTCTGGAACCTCCAAGTACAAAACAAAACATGACCGGCCTCTATCTCGATTGGTGGCACCACCAAAGCTCCATCCACAAAATAGGAAGCTGTGAAGGCCAACCGGCCCTCGCCTTCAAAATGAAGCAGCACGTGCAAACATGTGGAAAGATCTTCAGGAACCTGTGCCTGAAACGCCTGATGTAACCAGACTTTTTGCGGAAGGAATCATGTCTTTCACAAACAAATCACAGACCACACAACCATGATTCCGCACCTTGCCAAGAACTTCCCATACACACAAACACACAAATCCACAGACACACACAAAGAAGACACTCTTGGATGTACATGGATGTACATGGATGTACCGTATTCATTATTATTCATTGGTCTCAATAAGCTACACCGTCTGCAAGCCCATCCCACCCAATCCCCAATTTTGACGAATCTTGGCCTCTGGCAACTGGCGGAGCACCATGCTGAATCCATCCATGGTGCCATGTCACATCGCCTTCCTGTCCCAAAGAAACCATTTCACTTGGGCTCTGCTCCCTCAATTGACTCAGCACAACAAGGGCAGAAGTGCCAAGACTTCTCGAGATGTCTCTTTGGTGACCGTACAGTGTCCGATTCGGAAAACCATCAAGCAGCTTTCCGCACATGATTGATATAGATGATATAGTGACTATGGCAGTAACTATGGCAGTAACTATGGTCCAAAGATTTTCCAACACGACCAAAACTTTAAGCGACGCCCAGGGGCCCAGTCCTCCAAAGGGGCATGGTGATCTCCAAACTCCGGGCCAGGCCCGGGGCAATCCAGGGGATCGATGCCAAGCTCCTGGGCAGTTGCGCGCAGGTTGTCAGTGCCTAGATGTGCCAGGTTAAGCGCTTTGGCTTCAGAGGGAGCTGGTTTCTGATGGTTTTTGCCGCAACACCACTGGTAATATCTGGTAATATCATGTGATATCCCTTCAATCATCAGCTATCACGATGGATGAAATGGATGAAGCATTCTGAAAAACTGTCATCCAAACCTGCCCAATGTCCCATGCTCCTCTCACCCTCCATAGCACAAGGTTAGTTGGTTTAGCGGTCCTCCAGGTTCTCGCTATGGACCTGCTGCATACTTCCCAATGCGTGCTGATGGTTTCCCACGTGAGGAAGCAAATGAGAAAAAGGAACATAGAACATGACCTGTCAAAAATTAGATTAGCACAAACAACCCGCGCATACAAAAACATTATTGAATGTTTCACTTGTCCTCACGCACGTTCTGTACTGATGATCAAGGCTAGTGTTTCGATCCTTGTAGTCTTAATTATTACAGTATATAATTCTCTCGCCTGCGCAGCTAGATCCTTGTGAGTGCGCGACTGGAAGAGCAAGGGGCTCTCTTCAATACATCCTGATTGCAGGGGTCTCGATCCGGCCAAGCAACTGTTTGATCCACGGAAGGCAGAATAGATCCGCTTCGCAAAGTTTATGATGGGATCTGATGGGTATGTAGACACAAGAGATCACAACATGTTCTGCCCAGCCAGTCCTACACGATGCAAAGGCACCCACGCAGTTATGAAGTCGTTTGTGGCGATCGGAGCGGTCATGAGATCCTCTTTGCAACACCGCTGACAGCCAAATGTCATGAAGCGCCACTTTGTGTGGTGGGTGATGAATCGCAATCAGCTAAAAGCTATAAGATATGAGAATATCATAGAATATCACCTTCCTTTTGCCTCTTCCTTCACTTAGGATGCGTGACAGCACAAATCAGAGATGCAACCATACCTAGATCTCATCTCCTGATGCCAGGCTGTGGAGTCATGACCTTGGGACAGGGTGAAAGCAGCTCAACTTGACCCATTGCCCATGGATAACGTTCACTACTTCATCCCCAAGTCTAGTTGAATTCATATCGAGTTTGTCGAGTTCCACTAGTTTTCTTTAAACATGCCCAATTCTCTGCCCTCCCATTTCTACCAATTCACGGCCTGGTCGCTTCCAGAAAAGCGACGTTTGATACAAGCGCCTAGGCTCCCCATCTCTTTCATGTTTGCAGGTTCCCTCTGGAACGGCTCAGAAAAAGACAAAGCGCCCTGGACTGAGCTTCACTGAGCTTCTTGCACGCGTTCAGCTCCCAGTAGGGCACATGCAGCCGACAGCAAAGCCAACGCCAACCGCCAAGCACTTGCGCACTGCCTGGTAAGGTTGGCAAGGATGAGCTGCAAGGGACATCTGAATTCTGCGTCCGATTTGCGTATGTGGCACTTTGGTGAATAATGTATATATTAATATATATATATATATACATATTAATATATCATGTATAATTATACATGTATCTCTCTATACAGAGTCCATTTTAACCCATCTCCATTAGACTTCTGCCCGCACCTGTGAGGGTTGAAGGTCTGCAAAAATGGTGGCTGCAGGTCCGTCATGCCTGAAAAGGCGGACTCAAAAGAAGCGTGGAGGTTGACTGGCTGCTGGAAGAGTTCTAGAGCCGCAAGGCCAAACACAGTGATTCCACTCACTCGTTCCTTGAAAGTGCGCGCAGGCTCGAGTATTTTGGGGAAAACACCATGTTGCTATTGCCTCAGTTGGCGTGCTTTGGGTAACGGGAGGGAATTCAGGTGCCTTGGGCGGACATTATGCTGGCAGCATGAGCAGCTGACGCTGACTCCTGGGAAACCATAAAACAACAAGCAGCTCTGCGATTGAATGTCTTGTCATAACCTTGTCAGTGTTGCAAAGTTGATGGTGGTGACGCATCCAAGCTCCTTTTCTGTGGCATACCTGTAGAGCATTGGCACGTGTGATGCGAAATCCTCAGGACATGCAAACACCGTGATGCACCACCATCAAACAATCATCAAGCCCATTATTTGAAATAGTGTGAACTATTCCGAAGTGAACATTTTCATCCACACGTGCTTACCCTTCATTGGAAATTCATGCGCAATACGCTGGTGATGGTGTCCTCAGAAGAGATGAGGCCCCGTGTGACAGTGTGGCCGTGGCGCTCGAAGTCCAATAGCGTTTCTGGCGGAAGCACCTGATCGACTTCGGTGGCAGAGTCTGGAGTCCGGTGAATCTCTCAAGCCATCGCACGTAGACTCCACCAATCACCTACTTTGGGCTACGGCTACAGAATCCAAAACGGGCACAGCCCATAACAGCACGATGATATGCAAATTTGATCGAATTTGGCGACTGTAAAATTTGCTGAAATCCAGCGATTCTGGTGATTCTGGGTGTGATGTGCATTCAGCCCCTGGGCCCTGCACAGACTGACATGAAGCACAAGCAACGCATGCTAGGCAAGTTCTATACATGATACTGTCAGAAATGTCTCTAGGCATTTCAATAGTGGTGCTCCTCTGCTGTTACAGTACACTGCCAACTGTTCCTGCATCAGCTCTCAAACGAAAGTAGACTGCCAAGCATGTGGCTTGTACCGTACTTGAGTAGACAAAACTATGCAGATTTCAAGAGTGATGCTACCACTCTGATTTGCGGAACAAAACAATCGCAACGAATGGCTGTGACACCAAAGTTTCAGTTCACAGGCCACATTCCTGACCGTTGTTTTGAGCGTGCTGCAAAAAACTTTCAAATACAACAAACATGTTTGCCACTATCACTGTCCGGTCTTTGAATTTCCAGGCGGCTTTCAAACCAGTGGGCCAGAACAGCATGCAAGACCTTTTGAAATTCCAAGTGCTCGTGTATCCGGTGTCTCTGATCTGCTACTGAACCGCTCTTGCAGAGAATTGAGTTGGAGATCCCTTCATCTTTGGAAGGCATCTTGAACCCAGCGCTAGCTGAGGCAAAAGCTTTGAAGCAGTTTCTTGTGTCTGTGATACTTGAGGTAGGTTCTGCGCGGCAATGCACTCTAAGCACGGTGGATGAGGATGCAGAACAAATGGGATGCCGAATTGACGTAGCGTGCTGGTCAGTGGTGTGATATATTATCATACATGTTTGTTTCACCTCTGCGTTTTGGGGATGTCTTGGTAGCCAACGCCAAGAGACCAAGCGTCAACATTAATTCAACAAGACATACAGTACTAAAATGATCTAAAATGCCATCAACAAAATGGAGATCCATCAGCATGCTCTCCGGGAGAGCCCACCTCATTAAGCATTTTCTAGCTCCCAAAACGCCTAGAATCTTTGGAACCCGACGAACTTCGTATGAGCTGAACCGAACAGCGGCGCTGGTCAGCGTTCAAGTGAGCAGGCGAAACTTTTTGACATCTTCACTGCCAATCCAGTCATAGTAAAGGAGATCTGATCTGAATTTCCAACCACCTAAGGAAACTTTGACACCTGAACCCTCAGATTGGAAAATGCCAAAATCTCCAACCGTAAAATCCTGCAACCTAAAGCTTAAGCCTAACTGTACAAACACCAACAGAGTGTTTGATCAGTTTTGACGAGATGTGGACACCCTTCCTTGAATATTTCCGTCATGTTCATTCATGTTCTATCTTCGTACGGGTGGGCGAACCAGGCCCATTGCAAGGAAGATCTTTTTGGTGCCAAAATATACCAAGCTGGACCAAGCTCGTCTTGATCTGACTTGTCTTTGCAAAGGCAACACACCCCTGTGTGGCTTCAGCAACTTCCGCGTTCAAATCGCAGAACTTTGTCGTGACCCACACTAGGCTACAATCTTTTCACTGTCCTGCCGCAGAGGAGATCATTTCAACTTGTGGAGTGATTGTGGAGTGCAACGCTGTGGCAAAAACCGAAAATGTTTCATGGACATTTATCCTCTCACAGGGACATGGTGAGCCAACCTGTCTGGAGGTTTCTCTGTGATTTCGCTTAGGAGTCCGTTCTTTAGAAAATCTTAAGCTGCCGACACTAAGCACACTGCAATATGCCGTAGTTAAACAAAGACTACCAAAAGCATTGAGCAGTGTGGCAGACCTGCGATCTCCAATGTACAAAAAAAAAGTAAGGAAGAAAGCAACCAGCTGTTAATTACCCTCGCAAACGAGGGCGGCGGCGGACCAAATATCTGGTAGAGAATCAGCACCAACGCTCTTGCACACCTGCAAAAGATAACAGCATTCAGGGAGCAAGGCCGTCTTAAGTCTAAAGCTTTAAGCAACAACATATCGATGCAGCACAGTTGCAGAGACAAAGCTTGAGCACCTTTCATTCTCAGCGCTTTCTTGGTCTTTCTTGCTGCGGGATCTCAACCCAAGAAGGGTTGCTTGCTGTCCGTTGTCGTTTCACGACTCTTGGCAGCACGAACAGCGACAAAGCTGAGCATCGCTGCAATCCCGCAAAAAATAGCATTGAGCCACATCAGAGGCGTGAAGAGGTCAGGCCTGTTGATGCAATAGTAGGTGTTTTGGCAAGCCCAAACACCATAGATAAAGACAGTGTTGATGGCGACTTGACGTTTCCCGGGGCCAAATGCATCCTCATCCTTGGCCACAGAGAGGTTCATCATACCAACAAAGGCACAGCCAATGGCGTGCCAGTTGGCCCAAACCTCGCCAAAGTGGCCCAGGGTGTACTTGTCTTGGTGGCAAAAGATGCAAATCAACTTGTCCGTGAAATTTCCTGAGAGGATCAGTAGTGACAGCAAGATGCCATAGACCCCTGGAAAGAGAAATCCAAGCTTCATTGCGGCAGGATCGCCCAGGGCCACTGGGGGCGGCAAACGCAATACCACTGTGGCTGAAATGCTTGGGACACGGGACGCACAGGAATGAGTATAATGAGTGTACAGTGCTGCAAGGACCGTAACGATTCAAAATTGCATTGCAGCGAGAGTCTTCAGATGCGCCTATAATTTTGGGCAGCCACGGCCTGATCCACACGTCGCTGAGTACAAAAGATCTGCATTGAAAAATGGGACGGGCTCCGCATGGCAACTGTTTTCCGATGATATCAAAACAAGTCCATTGAAGTGGTTGCTGAGCGCTGGGCAACCAGCCCAAGGTGATGCAAGTAGCGAAGGTAGGAAGAAAAATAAAGGCTGCTAGTAGTGAAGAATCATCGTGGAACGAAACAACATGAAACAAAACAAAACCATATTAACAGTGAGGCCGTGACGAAAATCCAACTCTCAGTATCTTTATCAAGTAACATCTAGAAGTAATGTATGAATCTTGCTGGAAAACGGACTTCCGTGCCTCTGCCTTAAGCCTGATTTGAAGCCTTGATCCTTGCAAACATACATCCTCCGCAGCGCAAACATTCCACAAACTTTGTTTCAGCACGCCCTCCCCATTGTGCCAATACCATCAAAAACTCTGCAGTTGCTTCACTTGATGCACGTGCTAAGCTTAAAGTTTCTCACTTTTAGCACAGTAACGTATGAGCATCAGCATCATGAGTCATTTTTTCCTTCTGAAAACTTTGCAGTTTATCATTGCGAGAGAACATCTTATCACCATCACCATGTCCCTCCTCCTGCTTGCCGAGTCTCCTTTACATTAAATTTATCTTCCTTTCTTCTGGTGCGACAGGCTAGCTGGCAGCTGCAATAAAGCAGTCGCAACAAAACCAGGATTAACGAGGTACTTCCACAATAAGCCCTATAATTTCAACATGGTGAAATTTATACTTGGTGCAAGGGTGGGCAAACACAAATGCAGGACCACGGCGGAGAGATGGCAAAGCACCAATCAAATTAGCGGCATGGCCTGTCTTCGATCCATTTGAGCTTGGATTCATCCCGTCATGCAAGACCAAAAGTACATGCATAGCACATGCTACGTTTAGTTTTGATATGTTTTGATCCAAATGGGAACCCCAGCAATACTTCACCACTGAATCCACATCATGAATCAGGACAGGAGATGTGTCAACCCAACATAAGCAGCAAGGGGTTCAACGGAATTTTTAGATTTTCCTGTGCAGAAGGCGCGCTTTTTCCTGATAAAGTGCTGTTTGAAGGTTCGCAACGGCTCCAATCGCAACGGCTCTGCCTTGTGAGACCTATGTGACCTCCACCCGCCAAGGAAGCAGCTCCAGAGGTGCCCAGGTGAACTCAAACAGCACTGTTGGTTTTTCCAGGCTGCATGGGCTGTCCCCACAGTGTTTCCACATGTTTCAACCATCTTTAACCTACTTTCTGCATCTGTCTTCTACCTTTGGCTTCGGCCCAAGTCAACACCGGCGGCTTTTGCCGCAAATGGCCTGGTCTTAGCTTCCTTCTCACCGTTGCCTCACCAAAAGCCGCTTTGTGGAATGCCTAGTCCCAGCACCTGCCAAGCAAAGACTGTTGAAAAGCTAGGAGAATCTGGGAGAATCTGGGAATCTGGGAGAATCTGGGAGAATTGGGTCTGGTATAGGTCTGGTCCTTGGAGCTTGTGCGTCTGTGCGGGCCTGCATCTGTGGAGCCATAAAAGCACTGGCCTCAGGAAATCCAGTTGGATTATGTTGGATTGTGACCGAAAGATGAACCAATCAAAATTCAAACAACACCTAGTTCGGTTGAAAGCTTTGTTTTTTCTCCCACTGTGTTTTGATGATTTTATGAGTAGGTATCAGATCACTCTGCGCAACCCACAGTTGTTGTCCCCACCTGCAACTGGAGCATGTTGGCATTTGGAGGTGGCACCTGTGCACATTTGGAAAGACAAAGTTATCTCAAGGCATCTTAAGGCGCTCAACCCGGCCTTGCCCTTGCCGCCGCCTTTGCCTTTCATGCCCGGTGGTCGCACCTTCTGCTTTGGCGGAGCTGCAAACTTGCCTTAGCGATAAAATTGCATAGCATGGCGACATCTGCAACTCTTCCGCGACTCGGGTGCCCAGCTCATCAAGCTCACGTCCGTTCGGATTGCTGCCAGTGCTACCGCAGCCACACTTTGCTCCGCATCTCCCTTCTTCACATTTACCTTCAATATTCAATATAATAAACTGCATGGACCCAGCTCTTGGTCAAACAGTCGGGAGTATGTCCAAGTACTCCATTCCTTTTGCTTCACGGGGAGTTATTCTATGTTATTCTCACATCTTTCATGATTTTCATGAGCAATTTGCTGTACCAATCAGAACCACACATGTAGCGCTACACCCAGCATCACCCAGCCTCACCAACAAAGACTTTGCTGCCCCATGAGTCGGGCAAACAGCTTAACCTGGTGTTACTGAGGATTTGAGACTGACATAGACGCTTGCAAATGATTACAGTATGACAAAGGATGACAAAGCTACATATCGTACAGTAAATTCTGGCACACACACACACATATATATATATATAGTATGATATATGTATATATATATATATGTATATTCCGACATATTCTGTATGTGATACATCAAGGGAATACTTCCTGCAGTAGAATGCCTTGCAGTGGAATATTAAGAAGCCTGACTCACCAGCTTTCACAAGCTACCTGCAAGCCCTCCACATGTGCCCAACACATCCAGCCATCTCAATACCCTCTGGTGCTGAGTCTTCGGCCTCAGCTTCGATTGATAGCCACCACCCTCCACATCATCGGTTTCGTAGGTGACGTCCTCGGTGTGGCAGGGAGAGGAGTTTTGATACCCTTGGGCCTTCCCTCTTGCGCCTTCCCTGAAGGCAACGCAGTTTTCAAGAAGTCATCCCTAAGTCATCCCTTCAATGCTTTCCCCGTGTGAACGCTTCAGAACTAAAACATGGACCCTACATCCCAAAGAAAGCCTCAGCTACACCAGCCCAAGACGTCCAGCCCCGAAAAGTCTTGCTGAGGAAGCTAGACCATGCTAGACCACATGGCAACGCAGCACTTAATCAAGATGACCCCAAAGCGGTGTCATGCAAAACCAACATGAACGCACGATTCACAAAATAATAGATGAAAATCCGCCCGCACCGAAGGTGCTGGGGCGTGATCTTCCGGATGGCACTCGTAAAAGGTTACAGGTTTACCTGGGGGGTGGGGGCATTTTTCGGCCAAAACCTCCTGTTTTTGATAGGTCGTGACGCTCGCCTTCAAAAAACACTGTAAAAAACAGTACGGAAGACACCTGTTCGTGAACGCGCCCGTCCAAAATCGGCAAGCGAAAAGTGAAAAAACCCCGTGTTTTTCAACTTTTTGACCTCAATTTTTTGGTTTGCAACATCTTTTTTTGCGGTTCCGCAGGTGGCCGGGCCCGGAGGAGGATTTTTGAGTTTTTGGACCCGTTTTCGGACTGATTTTCGTCGTTTTGTGATAGCAGAAACACTGGTTTTTACAGTGTTTTTCTGTTTTCTGCATGCTTGACGGCTAGCTTCAAAACTTCCAAAAACCTCGTAAATTACGCTGTTTTATGTTACGGTGTGAATGAAAACATCGTAAATACCAGTGTTTTTTGACGTTGGTTAAAAAAACACTGTAAATTACAGTGTTTTTGGCCACCTGACCCTCAAAAACCATGGTATTTGCAGTGGTTTCTGCTTCTCACCGCGCAAAAACACTGTAAATAACAGCAATTTCGCCGTTTTTTCATGCTTTTCGTTATTTTTTGAACTGCGTTGGTCCGCTATACATGGCTATCAAATTCTTCGCGGTTTTTTTTTCCTGACAATCAGTACTTTCGGATGTTTTTGGTCTCAATGGCCGACATCATTGGCAGTTACGAGCGGCTGCCTAACGATGCGGTGCGGGCGGTTGCCGTCGCGAAGCGACGTGAATAATAGATGAACAAGTGGGCTACTGTTGGCTATGTCATAAATACCGCCTTCAGGCTGGCGGAAGCTTAAAAGAGACGCCTTCAACAAAACACAATTCCACCCCTAATTTCTGCAATCCTAATAATCCTATGATATCCTATGTGCTTAAAGAGGTTACTTTCACCTTTGCCTGTAGGCATTGCTTGGTGGATCTTGGTGCTCAAGTGCCACAGCCCCTTCGCCAAGGCCACGGTCTTTTCCATGACTCTGCGGACAATTTTGGAGCAATGGGTATTGAGCTCCATCTTGCTGGTCTGAACGATTGCGGTGGCTTCAGGAGGAACCACCGCAGTCTCACCCAATCTGAGCAGAGCTGAAATGGTGCAGTAAATTAGTAGAAACAGAATGAAACAGAGAAGCCGATGATAACATCTTTTCCGTTGCAATGCTGAGAACTGAGCCCAAGACATTCCAGGTGGCAGTTTTTGCTTCTTGATCTTGACACTGGGCTCCATAGGTCCGCCTTTTCTCTTTCTGGTCACCTCCAAGCTTCATGGGAACACAGAAAAAACAATTGACCCGCTGTGGAACCAGTCTTTGCAGAACAAGATAATAAACAAAACCTCACGCCTCGACGCCACGATCAAGGCCAAGAGCAGAAATTTCAGCCTACATCCAGGTGTCACTGTAATATTTGCTCTAGTCTACGTAGATGAGTCTAGAGGATTGACAGGAAGATCAGAAAAATCGAACTTGGTGTCCCAAAAGAAATAGCAAAACACCCCCCCCCAGACTTTTGCAGCCTTGAAGGACTCTACGGCTTGCTGTGCTGCAGCCTGCTCTGCCTACAAGCCGGACTCAAAGTGGCCAGGCAAAAACACTGAAACCGACCACCTTGGTAGCCCAACACATCCCAACATGATACAACATCCTTATGAATGCCCCCCCAGCATTGCTGCCAAATGGAGGTACGGGGAGTAGTGTTAACTCACAAATATCTCACAACTCACTGTTTGCAAATTTGCGAGTGCGGCACGCAACCCTACAAACCCGACCTCAGTGGCTGATGGTTTCAACTCGCCAGCAAATTCTTGCCCGCCAAGGCAAACCAACTTCACCTGAAAACTGCTCAGCATGTCAGTATGCAAGGTCAAAACCCGGTCAACATGTTTTTCCTTTTTTTAGTTAAAATAAATCAATATGAATCAATCCAATGAACAAATGTGTCATAAAATGATCATAAATACGATGGAACCAACTGTGCCTGTTTTGCATACTTAACCGCGCTTGCGTCCTTGTTACCTTGCGAAAGGCCTACAAAAATGCTACTCTGTTCCAGTCGCCCTTAAAACACAGTCTTATCAACAACAAAGTCGAAATCAGCAGCTTGAAACTCCATTAATCCGAAACGCGATGGACTGAAAACCCATAGGAAACTTGTTGTTGGTGTAGACGATATCCTGGAACAAACGCCGGCAATGCGAGGCAGGTTGACTTAATTTTCATGTCAGTCACTCAAATCATCATACAGCGTTGCTCTGTGTCACTTTGTTTTTGATTGGGTTGCAGCCATGCAACCCCTCCCTTAAAGATGCTCCCCAGCTTCTTTTGGCAGAAGTGCATTAACCTGAGAGGCAAAAATCAAATCACTGATAGGATCATCTAAAAAAAATGTGGGAGTTCCATGTTCCCGTCATTCCCCATCCATGTTGCTGATACATTCCAGCCACATCATTCAGCACAGCCACTGGCTTTTCGAGTCCATCGAGGCGAAGTCCTGTTGAGTTGCAACCCATCAAACATCAAGTTATTGTTTGGTAGGTGTTTATGGGTGCTTTGTTGGGTGCCAAATTTGTGTTGTTTTGCGGACAGTGGACGCCGGTTCAGACCCAGGTCCTTGGTCTCTAGCCTGGGTGGTGCCCATTCTGGGCGTGAGACCAGGACAGCCGCAGCGTTGTCAATTCGCCCTACAGGGAGCGCAGAAGCCGCGGGTCGACTTGCAGCTGGCCGACCAGGCACAGCCATTCCCGGAAACATCATGGCGTTCACGATGACTGCAAGGAATCACCTGTAAATCCAATGATGATGCATAAAAGTGAACTGCCAATTTTCTTGCAAATCATATCATCCAACAAAATGATTTTGCAGAGGTATATGCAATCTCATGTTTTGCCATATGTTTGTATGTTTTGTGAAAGGCTGATGTGAACCAAACACTTCTTTGTATTTGGGTTCTCCTTCAGGGCACAGTGTCCTGCACTCCGGCCCCGGTTTTGTCGTCAATACATGCTGGATCCGCACACCGTTTGATAGCACACGAAATCCCAAACAATTTCGGTCAAAACCAGAAACCTCGAGATCGCACGATCGGCAGCGCTACCAACACGGCACACGTGTAGCTATCACGTGTTTGGCGGCCTATTTCTGAAATTGCACACCAAATAGTGCAATCTTACATGTTTCAATGTGGGTAGGTCCAAAGGACACGGAAACACAATAAACACACATGCAAATTGAAATATCAAAGCAACAAAATAATTGCACCAAAAAGAAACCCTGTCATGTGAAACGCCTGACACCTGGTTTGAACACCAGGAGGACATATAGAAAATATAGCGATTATGGACAGGATGGAAAAGAAAATATGAAGATGACGGATGATGAATGATGGAATGTGATGAGTGATGAATGATCTTGTTGATGCCTAAAAATGTAGTTTTAGTGATAATGAAATTATCACATCAGATGTGTGTATGTAAATATCAACGGTCAACGATGAGGAACCTTTGCACACAAACTTTTACACAGAAAAATCTTTGCACAGAGGGGCCTTTAAACGGAGTTTTTTTTTATCATAGAGAAACCTTTACACGGAGAAACTTTTACACACAGCCGTGTTTACACAGAAAAACTTTTGCACAAACAATTTTTTACACAGATGATTTTTACACACAAACGCGTTTGCACAGAGAAACTTTTTCACACAGAAACTGTTGCACACAGAAGTTTTTACAGAGATAATTTTTTACACAAAAAAATGCACAGAGAAACCTTTACGCAAAGAAACCTTTACACAGAGACATTTTTACACACAGAAGGGTTTACAAAGAGAACCTTTTACACAAAGATATCTTTACGCAGCCTTTACACAGAATACATTTTGTGATGTTGCAAAATCATAGTTTTACCTCAGTTTTTGCCGTTTGACCTTCCTTTTGTGCAAAACCTGTCAATCTGCGCAATTTAAAATCCGTTTTTGACGTTCCACTTTCACTTCGTGTGAAAGGAACCTAACAATTTCCAACTCATTCCCACTATGGCCAACGAGAGTTCTTTGGATGGCAATGGAGGGAATATGGAAGAACTAGGGGGACGTATGCCAGGTTGGGAAAACCTCTAGGAGAGAGCCAGGTTGAGTGCCATTTTGTGGGCTTTCCAGTGGAGAAATTATTCCGGAGGTATTGGAGATGCGTGGCACGCCTCAAAAAAACCAAAGTGGGCAGCTGCTACAATCACAAACCAACCCAGAAATTGGCAAACAAATCAAAAACCAGTGGAAACAACATATTTTCCTTTTCCCACTCATTCCCACTAGGGCCACAACCACCACACTAGCCCAGAAACTGGAAAACATCCAAAACCATCCAAAACCAATGAAAACAATGTTCAACCAGTGGGTTGCTAAGAAGGCAAAATTTTTAAGATATTATGCTGGTTTTTCTTGATCCTATCTAATTATGTTTAAATTGTACCCCACCTCTGCAAGGTGGGAAACCTTTTTCGGCCGCTCGTGCGCAGCTGATCACAGCTGCTTACCTTCCGCTAGAAAAAACATGAAATAACTATACCGGTATCATTTCGCCAACGTGCAAGTTGAAACAACATGTACATCTAGACCACGGCAAACCATGACACATTCTGCTGGCGTAATTTTAAAGTAGATGCCCACCATTTTGACGCTATTTCATCCAAGTGGGTTTGTGGCATGGATGTCCTTTTGTTTCGATATCTTCCATGATGTTTCAAAGTCCCCAAGACTTGGAACAATATAGTTTTGGGGTGGACACTTTGGACAAGGTTTAGGCCAGCGCCAATGAAATTGGTGCTCACATGCAGGAACTTGAGTTTTTGCAATACACTGGATTCGACACATTTTGTCATTGTCTCATTGCTCCTTGATCTTCTAAAGATTGTGATTTGAGCGTAACATTTGCAATCCAGAGCGTATGGGATGTTTTTGTTGAGCAGCCTTTTTATACAGCTATCGATGCCATGGTAGTTGGCTATAGCCTAGAGTCTATTGTAACATGCTGTCGTGCCTGGACTTCTTTAATTTGTGTCAGCTGTCCTATGTTATCACACTGACGCACTCTGTTGTCATCTGTGCCTGATGTCACTGATGTGGTCTAATTAATATAGCCCATCCGGCCTTTCAAAGAGGTGTCTGATATTGCCTGCTGTCGCCCATTTGTGTCTGATGCCGTGATGGACACCTTCCAAATGTTCAAAGAAGTGCGGTGCTCAGGGTTGCCGCGTGGGATCACAAGTATTTTTGGGCAGTGAACTACAACTAGATTTAACAGCGAGCAACTGAACCTTGTAGCCTTTGTTTCCACAAGGTCGCATTTCTCAGATGTGACAGTGTCAGTTTGTAGCAGTGAGGCAATGCCCAGTTTCCCCTTTGGCCGAGGATGTCAGTTGGCTGACGAAACGGACGCTGACAATTTGGAGGTGCTTGTAATCATTTTTTTTTGTGGTCTGAATCAGGGGATAGGGGTTTGTCACATTTGATTTTTAACACTGGCAGCATCTGGCAGCTGTGTGGATGATGTTGCATATAGCATAAGTTCCGAAGAGTTCAAGTATGTATACAGGTTGCAGTTGTGGGTAAATGGGGTCGGTGATTTTGAGGCACTGTGTGGGTTGCATGACTTATTCGCTTGCATTACTTGCATTTCAAGGACACCCAGAACCAAGTCAATGACGGTACATGATACACCCAGGCACTCATTTGATGGCTCATCGCAATCATGTGTCCACCAGCTGTAATTCCAGATTCCTTGATGGTTCATCACAATCATGAGTCTGCCATTTGCGCGCACTTCATCCTTTTCCGGCAGGGCATTTTCCCAGTCAGTGTTCGGCCGAGCAACACACCTGCGGGTCAGTGTCATCTATGACGTGAAGAATTGGGATTGTTTCAAAGAAACTTGTGTCATCCTGTGTCTGTTGCCTCTTTGCTGCCCATGCCGGCGCATGGCGAGCTCGGTTGATCTTCTGCAGCCCTCACATCCAGACTGCGCTGCAGTCGGCTTGTTGGAGCGGTTGCTTTTGCACATGTGTATTATCCACTGCTGGTACACGTTGTCCTGCCCAAATTTCTGTTCAGCAGACGTGGGCAATTGAGCAGACCCAGAAGATGTGCCCGCCAAACTCTAGGATTTGGCGAAGCACCCTCAATGCTCGTAGGAGGGTCTTTTTATGGGGACCCCTGGAGGAAAAACAAAAGCTGGGGATTGGCAAACCAGGAAAATCACATTAAACATGTTCCTTTCTTTCCCATTCCTTTGTCACAAGTCACTTTTGACAAAGCTGTCCAGAGCACATGAGATTGAAAAACATGAAAACTGTTTGCGTTTTGCGCCTTGGTTCCGCCGACCCGTTTGAGGATCTGATGAAGCATAGTTCGATATGTTTCATTGCCACATGTCGAAGTTGAATCTAACTGTTACATGGTGCTGTGAGGCAGCAAGTGAACAAGAATCGTGCTATCATGATGACCACGTTCCGATGATGGCTGAACAGAAATGGCCAATGTCCAATGGCGCCCGCATCTTTCCAGCAATATCATGACCCCATATTCTAGGAGGGCGGACGTGATATAGGAGCGAGATGCAGGGGATTTCCATGGATTTCCCTCCACGCCGCGCTGAGTCCAACCAAATGCAGACCAAATGTGAGGCCAATAGTGCCATCACGAGCGCCGCCATCACTGGAGGTTGTATGCTGTATGCCTATGATATTATATGGTCAGTTTTGGTTCAGTGTCGTGCGCGTCTCCCTCGCAGCATGTCCATGCCGTGTACATTTTACAGTGTTGTTTTTTCTCTGCCAACCAATCACCAGAGAAATCAGAATTTCAGCATTTACAGACATAACTACATTGTCTGCCATCGCGTGGCTACACAGGATTACATGCATTGATGTCAAGCAATATCCGCAGCATCGCCGGCAGGATGAACTTCAAGATGGGGATGTATCTCTGAGCTGACGTGGTGGCTTGTGTGATGTCCCTCTTTTCTTAAGCATTCAAGATCGTTGAAGTGATCGAACACATTTTAGAAGGCAGATATTGCGCAGATATGCCAAAATCATCGCTTGACGTTCAACAACACTGGAGGCAGACAGGGAAGGCATGCCGAGGACTAACCGCTAATGTCCACAGAGTTTTTTCATACGTGCAAGACCTGCACACCTAGGGCATTTGCATGCGTGCTTTGCATTGAAGTATCATTGAACCCTAAGATCATTTCAGGCCCACATCACCGACTTCGTTGCATGAGCCGCAGCGTGAGGCTCTTGTCGATACCAGTGGCCAGAGTGCTTGGGTTCCCTCCTTGGAAACGTATGCTTTCAGGTGGGTTCCGATTTACCCAGTTTGATACCATGGTGACATAATGAATTATTCTGAACGATTAGGGTATATTTTGTAATGCTGCCTCGCTGTCGCAGATGACGGGTCCCCGTCCCCGAAAAAACCGTAGAGGCCCGTAGAGGCCGGTACTAAGGTTCTGGTTTGAAGTTGTGGCAAATTATATATGTATATATATTGATATAAGTTTCAAAACCTAGGTTATAACTTGTCTTACCGAGGTTATAACTTGATGTTAATAACTTGAATTTGTAACTTAGTTATGTTTTCATGGTGTAACTTTTACCATGGGATCCCAAAACCCTTGAAATCGCAGACGCCTAGGAAAACACGATCCTTTCCCAAAAAAATCGAACTTTTGGGAATCAACTATTTCCAAGACAGTGCC